GACCTTCAAGAGAGCCTCTAACAGTGGCAAGAGTTTCAGGGTCCGGTGGATGCGGCTTTGTGTCTCCGCTGCCCTTGTTTGCGGTAGGTTCAGAACAAGGGGTGCCAGTTATTATAACGGGGGTGGCACAGGGGTGGTGGGAACACAGGGGAGGCGCCCAAGCGGGTGCCGCCCTGAAGAATGGGCGGGAATGAGAGGACACAAGAGAGGTGGTGAGACGGGTAGGATAAAACAGTCTCCAAAATCGCTCCCTGGAGTCCAGCCCTGCCCGAACCATGGCAGTATCAATAGGAACCTGTAAATCAACAGTCCAGGAACTAGCCCGCGTTCTTGGAAGGTGGTTTTTCAGATCTAAAGCCAAGCCACCAACCCCAGAGACAGACTCAATATCTGGTCAGGAAAGTCCCTTCCTGCATCCTGTAGTACGTGCTACAGAATCCCAGATGTTTTACTCTGCCGATATCAGCCACCAAAAAAAAAAAACCAGTTTTTTTATAAATTAACTAAACTCAACCCCCTATTGGCTCCCGACCGCAGTCTCCGCCCTCTGACCCCATATATTCCAAGTCTCTCTCCGCATGCACCTTGGAACCCCAGCTCATTGCTGTTGTCCTTGCAGAGTCTCGATATGTCTGCCTCCACTTTTGCCAGGGTTCTGATCTAAATTCTTTTACAAGAACCCAAACTTGGTGACTTGGCAGGGAATACCTCAACGAGACGGAGCCCATTGGGGAAACTCTCTAGTACCTCCCGACGGCCATAGTCTAGTGTTCCCTCGGGGGTCTGCGTGGGGGACCCTGAGGTGTTAGTGGGTTGGACGAAGGGTCTCGGAGGCCGGCGTGAGGAGTGCTGTGGATGCGGGTTTAGAAAGCTCTTCCTGGGGCAGATGAGGGGAGAGACCAAAGACGGGGAGGCTAGGACAAAGCCCCCCCGCAGTGGCCCTGGAGCTGGGGAGGGGCTTAGCCAGCTGCATTCAAATCCCAGCTCCACCACTTGCTGCGTGGCCATGTGCATATTACTCCACCTCTCTGAGTCTCGGTTTTTTTTTGTCTGAAACTCAGGCAAGATCTCCCCTGCCTGCTTCAAGCAACATTGTGAGTTTGAAGGCGCTTTGAACCTGTGAAAGTCTTGGGTGTCTCCTTAGGAGGGAGCTTCCCCAAACAATGTGACACAACCTTTGGTGTCAAACATAGAATTAAAAAGACAATCATGTGGCTTTGAGCCTGTACGCCCCCCTCTGCCATCACCAGTTTCCTGCTCCACGAATTGGAACGCACAGCAGTTCTTAGACATATTAATTGGGATGTACTCAGTCCTGGGAAGCTTGTCTCCAACTTGCTTGAACACGAGGGAGGATTTATCGGTCGGTAGGAATGTCCTGAGCAGGGGACAACTCCAGGGTCAATTAGATTCAGTCGCTCGAAAATGTCACGAAGGGGCTCTTTCCTCAGGCTGGTATCCTTCATGGTGGCAAAGTGACTGCCCCTGATCTAACATATCACATCGCATATCCCCCCATTCATAAAGAGAGAGGGGGGAGCTTATTTGCCAGAACCCTCTCAAAACACCTCTGTCAGCATGAATTGTGACCCAGATGAGGGCTCTGGACTCATTTTACTTTGACTGGCGTGGCCCTTAGACAGGTGTTACTCTCAGATTTTAAAATCCGGGGGTGGAATGACCCCTTCCCTCCCACGTAAAGTAGGAGTCATGGAAATGTGGGGAAACTGCGGAAGAAAAGGGGGCGGATGGGGTTGCAGTAGCACCCACCGTGTTTGCTACCCTGGGGAGCCATATTTAGCAAATAAAAATGCACAGTCCCACCTGTATCTCAAACCAGCGACAAACAATGATTTTGGATGGGCACTGGGACAGTTTCATACGAAGAAAAATTACTAATCATGTGTCTGGAATTCACACGTAGCTGGAGCATCCCAGACTTCATGTGAAAAGTGTGATGTGTGCACTGGAGTGAGGGGACTTCTTGGCAATAGTATTTCGACAGCTGCAAACACTCCATCACTAATCGGCCCACTGCTGTTGCTGTCACTCAGCGGAGAAGATGTCATGGGAGGAACCTATGAGAGGGCTGTGAGGGGTTCAGAGTGGGAGCTGTTCCTTGGGCCCTGCAGCTGGGGTGTCAGGGAACGCAGCCACAGTGGAGGTTTACCTGTTGCCTCGTCCAACCTATCTGCACTCCCCCATCTCAACACTGAACAGGGCTTTGGGTGCACAGTGCTGTGGGAGATTGGGGATCTTCAGAGACCCACTTAAGGGATGGGCTGACGCCCACACCTCAGTGGGGTTTGGGGTGTTGGGGCACCGGAACTCAGCCAGGCATTCTCTCTGTCCACCTCTTGTCTGCCTGTGCAGCTTCATTTTCTCCTCCTGCAGCCTGTCTTTCTCTACACGGTGACCAAGAGGCCGCCATTGCTCCCGAGTCATACCCCAGAGAGATGGATACTGTTTTCTCAATTCCAGAGGGAAAAGTCTCAGGGAAGTCCACAGAGGACCATAGATAGAGCAGCTTCTCTCTCCATACTTGTATTCCATTCTTTCTCTCTCCCCTCGTGGTCTTACCCAGTCTTGTGGCTTTTGATCCCGTCCAGGTGCTGATGAACTTCCAAAGGTGAGCCTTGCCATTGTTTTTACTGCCTAGTGCAGGGGAAACTTCTAGAACACATACACCCATGTCTTAGTCTGTTGTGGCTGATATAACAAAATACCACCGACTGGGGGGATTATAGACAACAGAGATTTAATGTTCACGGTTTCAGTGGCTGGAAGTCTGAGATCAAGGTGCCCACACGGTCACGTTTCTGGCTCATAGCTAGTGAGAAACAAGCACGAGGCCACGCTCAGATGGTTAGTGCAGCCCCTGGGTGGGAGCCGCATTCCAGGAGTTATTAATTCCACCCCTTGGAAGGGAAGGGCAGGTTTTGTTGATGAATTAGCCATCTCTCCGGCAACCCCATCCTGTGTCTGGGAAACATCCCTACATCGGTTCGGCTGTCTGAAGAGAGAGTCTGAATGACTCATGATTTTTTCTAAAATAATTGTTTTCATTTATTGATTTTTAGAGAGAGAGAGAGAGAGAAAGAAACATCAGTTTGTTGTTCCACTCATTCATGCATTCATTGGTTGCTTCTTGCATGTGCCCTGACCGGGGATGGAACACACAACCTTGGTGTATCAGGACAACATTATAACCAACCGAGCTACCCATCCGGGGCTGGATGGCCCATCATTTAAATCAGAAAGTCATTTCTCATGTGACACCTCAGCTGGCACAGAAGCCACCCAGGGCCTTTCTTGTTCCTTGCAGCTTGTCCATTCATTCTCTTTCATCTGATGATTCCAGATTTTACCTATAGACTCTCAATTTGACCAGCCTGGAGGGGGCACAGGAAGGAGGGGGTTGAAGCTGTCCCCTCCCACTACCAGGACACTGCAGGCATCATCGCCTGTCGATGATGTGACTCAGGGGAGCACAGATGTGTGGTGTTTTGTGCACACGGGTTGTGCAGTGCAAACTTCAGATCCATGCTAGTAATGTGTTGACTGTTTACTATCTGTTTTAAAGAGAGGAGGAAAAAACATCAATGTGTGGCTTTCGGAAGGTGAGACAGACATACTTTGCTATATTCCCATGCATTGTTAATACAGTCCTGTTTCTTTTTTCTCTCCTGGAAGATGTTGTTAACTCGACAATGCGCATCTTAGGATTGATGCTGGCTGAGAATTTAGGGTATACAGTGGCCATGGAGTAGAAATAATACTCCTAATGAGCAATATTAATCAATACCATTTTCAGTGAGCCTTTACTATGAACTGGAATGGAAATAAACACATTTACACAGATTATTTCGCTAAATTGAGGCTTTGAAAGGTGTTACTCGGGTGAATTGTACATCCCCTCCCCAACTCCCAAGCTTGGTGAATTTTATGACAATAAAATGGTTATAAATAATAATAGATCAAATCATCAGGCATTTAGGTGAGAGCTGTCCAAGTACAAAACACGGACAGGAGTACAGGGACCAGCCTACAAGGGCACTCCAGCGCAAACAATTAAAAAATGTATTTTTATAGGAAAATGCTAACAAGATTGCATTCAGCCGCCGCTCACTAAGCACCCGCACCCGGCTAGCAGGTGCATCCTAGTAGCTGTGAACAATATGCTATTATTCCAGGGGGCAGTATGATTAGCCACGGTTACATGGGAGAATTGGCAGTCGGACTCCTCGGTTCAAGCGCGGTCTCTGCATTACCGGCTGTGACATTCTGCAAGTGCCTTGACCTGTCTCTCCTTAGCTGCAAAGTGGGAACAGATTAGAAGTTACTAATAGGAATTTAGGCGCGCAAAGCCCTTGGACGCTCACAGTTATTACTCCAGAACGGAGAAACTGAGGCTGAGAGGTACACGTGGATGCGGGAGGAGCCTAAGGCCCGCACGCTCCGTCCACTATCGAAGGGACTAGGGTCTCAGAGGCAGTTCCCTCCAGCACGCCGGCGCCGGCCATTGCGAGGAGCGTTGGCAGGGAAGGGGTTATGATGATAGAGAGGAGGACTGGAGGACTCGGGGCGGCACGAGCGGCCCCGGCCACTCTCCGCGAACCTCCCGCCCGCGGCCAGCGCGGGGAGCAGACTGCGCAGGCGCGGGGGCCCGACTCCGGACGGGGGGGGGCACGTCTCTAGACACCGGAAGTCTCCGCCTAACGGGCCGAGCCCGCGCCTCCGGTCCTGGGAGGGGGCGGGGCCGCAGCCCTTCGGCGCACGGCGCCATAGAGCGCGTCCGGAGGACCCGCATCCTAGACGCGCCCGGAAGTGGTTTCCTGAACGCCGGCTCAGCACCATCGAGCCGGGGGGGGCGGTGGCTGGGGGGGCGCGTCGCGGGCTCACCATCCTAGAGCGGCCTGGACGGGGTGACGGCCGGAGGGGGTTGGGGGAGGGGGAAAGCGGCGCGGGCGGAAGCGGCCGGGAAGGTCACTTCCGGCCTGGGTGCCCGTCCCCCTGACCCCAGGGTCTGAGTCGCCGCTGCCGCCGCTGCCACCATCCGCGAGGGAGGAGAGAGGAGAAGGAGTGCGGTGCGGCGGCCCCGGGACCGAGGAGGTGAGGGGAGGGCGCAGGAGCGGAGGGCGTGCGCCCAGGGCCGGGGGGCGCGCCTCGGGAGCCAGGCTGCGGGCGGGGGGCGGGCGGGGAGGCGGGCGGCGAGCGCGACTGGGCGGTAAGTGCGCGTGCGCGCCGCTGGGGGTGGGGGGGCGTGAAGGCGCGCGGCCGGGCAAGTGGGGCGGGGCGGGCGGAGGCGCGCCGGGGGGCGCCGCGGGCTAGCGCGTGCGCGGCGGGGAATGCGGGTGCGCGGTCGCGCCGTGCAGATATCGCGCCCGGGAGGAGCGCGCGTGCGCAGCGTCAGCTACTCTGCCTTGGGGCTCAGGTCCGGGTGGGGTCGCCGCGTCCCCCTGGCCTTCCTGGCTGGAGGTGGCCGGAAGTAGTGGTGACTCTGGGGGAAGTTGAAGGTCTGGTGGAGGGTGGGGGTCACGCGGACCGAGCAGGCCTGACCGGAAGCTTGCCCCCTCCTCCTTCCCCTTTTCAAAGCACTCAGACCCGTTGCTGCCCCGGGCGGGCCGCGTGCGGCCTTTGATTCCGGCGGTAATTAAGGGTGTTTCGGCCGGCGGAGGCCCATTCATTCGCCCGGCAAGGGCGGGGGTAGGAAGCGCGTGCTCCCGGGGGAAGCGGCTAGGCCAAGGTCAGATTCCCATGTGGCCCTGGTGCAGGGCGAAGACGGTGGTCGGGTTCGAGGCCTCCTGGGGCTTGTATCCCCCTTTACTGTATCCCCCACTCCCGGCTACAAGGGAGTACACTCCAGTCCGTAGAGTTGAGTGCCCCTCAGATCCGCAAGCTCAGGATGGCGCGATCAGCCAGAAAAATGACCTAGACACTTGAGAGCCGGCAGCGAGTGTGGACGCAGGCCCTTCCAGTACAGGACAGGGCCTGGAGCAGAGACGCAGACCTGGCCAGAGGCCTCATGGAGAGGTCCAGGGGCTGGGGAATCCTAGGGAGGGCGCACAGCCCAGCCCAGCCCAGCGGGGCGGTCCGACTTCTAGAAAGGGAGTGACTTGGCTAGGGTTTTCCTGTGTTTCCTGGTGTCAGGCCCCAGGACTCAGCTGGGAGACAGAGCAGGCCTGGCAGGGGAAGCACAGGTGCTGTTGATCCTGGCTTATCTTCTCCCTGAGTCTGTAAGCCGCTTTGCTAAATGCAGCTGGACTTCACCGGCTGCCTCTGCTGGGGTCCCTTTGGTCCCCTTGTTCCCCTCGGCCTCAGCCCCAGGGAGCATTCAGATCAGATTCCTCCTGGTGTTATCTCATGTCTTTGTCCTTTCCTCCTGGAAGCCTTCCAGAGCTAACCCCACCCCCAACCCGGGCGCTGCAGGAAGGGTTTATCATGGTGCTGGGCCTATGCTCTGGGGTCAGGCAGAATCCCAGCTCCACCAGTCAGGCCTTTGTGACCTAAGACAGGTCATAACAGGGTAAAACAGGTATAATAATAGTGTTGGTCGCGTTAAGCTTTTTTTTAGAGCCAGAGAGGTGGTTGTAGAGTGTGTGCAAAGGGCTCTGGAGCCAAGTGTTTTTAGGCTGCCCTTGCCTCCCTCTCTTCCAGCCCCCTGACCTTGGACCTGTCACTTCCTCTTTCCCAGGCTGTTTCCTGTTCGTCCCCTAAGGTGGAGAGCACAGCCCACTCTTCCCTGGATGAGTCTTGCGCATTAGGCTGCTGCACATTCTCGTCCTGTGCTGGGCACACGGGCAGGGCTCCTGCTCTGGGTGGGAGAGGAGGTTAGTCAGCACACATTTTCGAGGTTCCCACGGGCCAGAGCCAGAGCTGGGCGATGCTGCGTGGCCATTCTGTCCCGGAGCAGCTGAGACCCTGAGTGGAAACACAAGCACAGAAGCACCAGGCAGAGGGATTGGCGGTTATGCACAATGGCCCCCCCCTCCCGCCCCTGGAGCTGTAGGAGTGGGGAAGGGGTTCAGGGCGCCGATGTCAGGGGCGATGGGGGCCCTTGTGCAGGAAAGATTTCACGCGAGTCCCGGTGATGTGAGAGTATGTTTATTAAAGCTGGGGACGGTGGATCGAAGGAAGAGCTTAAGATGGGAGCAGCAGGAGTGAGCCCGGGCAGTGCTGCCTTGGCCCTCTGGACACCTCAGGGAGAGGCAGAAGAGGTGAGCCAGCTGGGCTGTGTGGACTCAGGAAACAAGTTACTGAGGCAAAAGAGGAGCCCTTGGAGAAAGAGAGCGAAAGTCCCGGCCTTAGGAAAGAAGAGGGGGTGAAGTCACAGGTGTGCCCCTAAAGAGGGGGAGCTGTGAGCGTGCATAGGGTCTTTGGCCTCAAGGGTTTTTTTCTGTTTTCTAAAGGCAGGAATTTTAGGGGAGGTCTCAGGGGATGATCTCTACAGAATATTGATTAGGGATCCACGCGGGTGCTGTCAGGGTTCTGGGCTCCACTGATTGGTTGGCACAGGGTAGCGTTCACTGGTCATTGGACGGTCCTGATGCAGCCGTGGCGTGGCCTCATCTGGATTTGCTGCTGTTGTGGTCCTGGAGCTGAAACACAGCTGAGGCCTCGATGTTCTCGCTAGTTTGACCAAAACTCCGTCTCGGGGGTCAGCAGATGCCAGGCTTCGTTGCTAAGGTTATTTAATGCTGCCCAGAACCTTGTCGGCCTGAGGGCTTGTTCTTGTGCTTCCTGCTGAAGGGAGTGGTCTTGCAGGGGAGAAGGAGGCGGGGGTCAGGGTGCTGGGTGAGGCCAGTTGGAATCAGCTCTCGGTCTCAATTTCCCCATTCCGCTTGCCAAGGAATTTTCCCAGCTTCTTACTCTCCTGCCTCACCGTGGTCGGGGAAGACTGGGAGAAGTGGATCGTTCTGAGACTAAGGACAGAGGAGTTGGCCGAGGGAACCCTGGACTCCAGGAGGACAGTGGTGAGCTGTGGGCGGGCAGTGGCGAAGGTCTGGCCACGGCTTCCAGCAGCTGTTTGGCTGCCCAGGGTCGCTGGTTGTCACACAGCCCCCTCACCGCGCTTGTCCCTCCTTGGCACTGCCTGGGGTTCCCTGCCAGAGAGGCAGGCTGCAGGTGTGACCACGCTCACTTGCTGAGCGCTTGGCAGGTGCCTGACCTGTGCTGGGTACTCACTGACCTGTGCTGGGTACTTAAGCCCTCAGAGGCCCTGGATGGAGGGGGTCCCCCCACTTTAGGGGCCGGGGGCGGAGCCCAGGCCTCACGCAGCACGGGAGCACGGGCTGCCTGTGCTTCCAGAGCGGGGCCCTTTCCCGTGACGCCGCCACTTCTGTTGACCTATTTCTTTTGGCGGAGGTTGGGGTCTGAGGAGACATGCTGCTGTTCTGAGGCCTCTTAGGTGTCAGTCCTCGCGTTGGGTGGGGCTGCTGCCTGGCGCAGGGGACTCAGACCCCGCCCCCCATTTCAGGTGTGGCTCTCAAGGCGCTGGCCACGGGCAGGCGAGGGGAGTGCCCCACTGCCAGTGTCAGCGGCCCTGTCTCCCTTGGCTTTCCCGCTTCTGTCTGTGCCAGGCCTTTGGGCTCACAGAACACTGGCTTCTCTCTGGTGGGACTGGGTAGTCCCGTGTGGCCTTGTAAGAGGTGATGCTGGAGACCCAGAGAGGCGTCAGGTGTGGTCCCAGCCTTGCAGCTCAGGCCGGCCAGAGAGGAGCGGGTTCCTGGGGCTGCTGTGTGCGGGGTCCGTGCTGAGAGCTGGTCCCTGCTCCTTGGCGCGGAGCCCAGAGCTCACAGTCCGCTGGGGTGGCGGTGGGGTGGCGGCGTCTCCCCAGGGACGCAGGACTCATCGTGACAGTGGGAGGCACAGGGAACGAGTGCCAGTGTCCCTCTGGGACGGGGACAGAGACCACCTTGCCGTCTGGCCAGGCGGCAGCCCCCGGCCCCACGGCGCTGGCTGAGTGGCACGGGCGCTGGGCTCGTCTGCGCCCAGGCGGCGGTGCTAGGCCTTCACTGAGCGCCTGGCTCAGTGGGCCCCTCACAGGACCCTCCAGGGTGGGGGTGGGGGCGGAGTCCCGCGCGGGCGGCCTGCCCCGGAGCCTGTCTCTCCAGGTGGTTGTGGGATCAGGATTTTGTGTCTGGGGTCTGCGGTGTAGCCTGTGCTTGATGACTGTCTTCTGCCGTTTGAGAGTGAGGACAGCTAAGCAGAGGGAAGCTCAAGGCTGGGAAGGCTTCCTGGGGGAGGTGCTGTTTTTGCTGGGCCCTGGCAGCCAACCTGGAAGGAAGTACCCTTGAGAAAGGCTGGTGAGGGAGTGCGCACCCACTCAGGGTGGAGGCTGGCCCGGTGGCCCGGTTGAGGGCGATGGCCGTAGGGTGGCCCGTAGGCATGTTCCAGATCTTTCTTTTTCTTTTTTTTTTTTTTTGACCTGAAGAGTGTTTTTATTTGTTAAACAATTTCCAGTTACTCACCAGCACTTAAGCGCCTGGACACACGGGGTGGCGGCGGGTGGCTGGGGCTGTGCTCCTGCCACTGCCGTGTGGGCCTGCCGCCCCCGCCGCCGGCCGAGGTTCTAGGAGTTGTAGAGAGTCTGTCTCATGGGGACAGTGGGAAGTGGCGACGGGGCCACACGTGGCCACCCTGAGCTCGCTCATTTTCCGGCCTGGGCCCCGGGGGAGGCTGCGGGACTACAGGTGGGGGTGACCTGTGGCGAGGGCTTGAGCCCCGGGGGACCTGTGAGGCCAGGAGGTCCAGACGCGGCGGCGAGTGGAATGAGGCAGCGAAACAGGCTCGGAGAGGCACCTGGTCGGGAGAGTGAGGGGGCGACAGCGAGAGAAGGGACCAGGTGCAACTCTGTCAGCATCGCGGGAAACCCCAGGGAGGCGCAGGCCCTGTCACGGGGCCGGGTCGTGTCCCGGCTCAGTCCAGAGGGGGTGGGAAACCCACCAAGGCCAGTCACCGGCGTCCTGGCCGCAGGGAGGCCAGGTTTCAGGCCCGGAGGGAGGGCTGAGGCCGCTCACAGAAAAGGGAAGTGGGGACAGACCGGCGCTGAGGGGCTCCCCGCCCCTCGGGGGCCTCTCTGGGGGCGGGGCCAGAGGCCTGGCGGGGGTGAGGGTCGGCGGCTGCCCAGCGCGGGCAGCAGACCGGACCCCGAGGGAGGGGAGTGCGGACGGCTGCTGCGGGTGCTGGTGGACACCAGAGGAGGAGGCCCTGTGATGTGATAGGGGCCGGGCATGGCCCCCGGGGAGGGGACACTCGAGCTCACCCAGGAAAGGTGAGCCGGGCCCAGCAGGTGGAGGCCTGGGCGGGCTCTCTAGAGAGACGGGAGGTGGGCTGGGAGTGGGGGGCCTGAGGGGGCAGCGCCTTCGCAGGCTGGCTGAAAGGGAGATCAGATCTTGGAGCTGGTGCAGTGGGCCGTGCAGCGGGGTGGTTTACGCTGGGGTGGGGGAGGGGTGATGTGACCTGAGCTGCTTTTAAGAAAACAGCACTGTTGAGGTGTGATGCCCATGTGGGACCGCCCGTCTCTAGTACACCAGTGGTGTTTGATGTGTTTGCAGGGGTGTGGCTGGCAGCACAGTGCCTTTAGGATGTTCTTGTGATCCCAAAAAGAGACTCTACCCCCGGCCCCGGGACCCTCTGAGCGATCATCTGGCTGTGGATCTGCCTGTTTTGGACGTTTCATGTACATGGAAACACACTTGTCCACAGGGTAGCCGTTGCGAGGTGGCTGGTGACGCAGCACTGCCCTGGGCTCTGTGACTCGCACCTCAGCGAGCGTGCGTGCTGGGTTGTGTTGTCATTTCTCTGGGGCGTGTGGCCAGAAGCGGACGGCGGGGTTCCGTGGTTCCAGTGTCTCCATGTCCTCGCCCACATCTGCTGCTTTCGGCTCTTTCTGTGTCCATCCCCTGAGGGGGGTGGGAGGGTGTCTCCAATGACAAGTGACATCGAGCGCCTTGTCAAGTGCCTGTCAGCCCCTTGCATGTTTTCTTTGGAGACATGGCTATTATGATCCTTTGCCTTTTTTTAATGGGTTATCTGAACTGAGCAACTTACAAAGATGAGTCTGTCTGATGGGCGGGGAGGGGACGAGCAGGGGGGCTCGCGGACACAGACTTTGCAGGGTGGGGGTCAAGGCTCCGATGTAGCCAATGTAGCCCTTGGATTTGCTGAGCAGAGGACCAGAGGGGCAGTGGTTAGGGGTGCCGGGCGGTCGGGGGAGGAGGGAGAGAGGGGCAGGAGCAGGGAGCGGAGAGGGGGCAGAGGGCAGACAGTGTTTCCTGCCAGGGGAGAAGCCCGGTGAGCGAGCGGCTGCCGGGGGAGGCGGCGGCGGCGGGCTGGCAGCAGAAGAAAGAGCCGGGTAATTGGCGGGCAGGCTTCCAGAGGAGGTGGGTTGGAGCTAATAACAACAATAACAATAATTTGTCTACAGCTTAGTAGCCGCCGGGCACTGACAGCTCCACGTGCTAATTGGATCGCTCAAGGGCTTGGCACGGGTGGGCAGGGAGTGGGGACGTGGGGGACGTGTCTTGGAGCTGCCTGCTGAGAACTGGGGGAGCGAGGTGGGGAGGTCGAGGCAGGGTGGCAGCCCCCTCTCGGCCTCAGAAGTTGTCCACTGTCGCGGGCAGGCCCACCGCGGCACTGCTGGGGCCTTGTCCAGGGAGCCGTGGCCCTGCCAGCTGGGTGGGGCTGCGCAGGCCATGGGCCTGGGGGGGTGACGGGGAGGGACAGTTCCCCAACTCTGAGCCCCTGGGGGCAGGACCAGAGGCCTCAGCGGCTGAGTGAGTGAGTGAGTGGACGAATGAGCAAGCGAGTGAGTGGGGAAAGACCTGGGCTAGTGCAGGCCCTTCTTGCCGGGCCCCAGGACCCTTGCAGCACACGCCCCCTTGGTCCTCACGCACCTGGCTCTGCGGGCACTTGCTGTTCCCACATGCTGAGGCCCAGAGCAGCCCAGCGCGGGTGCAGGATCACTGAAATGCGCAGGTAGAGCCCATTCTTCGCTGGAGGGCAGGGTCTGGCAGCTGGGCTCTGTGCCCAGCCCCCGTTTTGCCCTCCACGTTGCATCTGTTGCATCTGTCTGCAGGGCAGGCAGGTTCATCCTCTGCCCTCTTAGGCACTTACGGTTTCCGGCTGGGGTGGACTCTGATAACATAACATTAGAATACAATTCTAATAAGAATTGTGTTTCCATGACAGGAAGATCCGCAAAGTGCCCAGTACTTTGTAGAGTACAGGAGACCCTTGAACGACCTGTTTGCAGGTTCCTCCCTGGCCTTGACTCCCTTTGCCTGGAGACAAGACTTTCTTCCTCTTGTGCAGACAGGGCACTCACAGGGGGATGGGGGGCTTTATCTCCTGTTGTGGGAAAAAGGGGGTAAGCACCCTTCTTGTACCTGCTGTTGCCTTGAAGTCAAGGTAAACAGGCAAAGTGGACTGTTCTGGGCGGACTTCTCAAGACCAGCCCTCCCCTTCATTCTGCTCCACTGTCTTCCCAGTTTTCCCCACCATGGACTGTGCGCGTGTGTGCGCGTTTCTGTGTTGGTTTCCTCTCCGCTGTGTCCCGACAGTGAGGCTTCTGGCGGTCATTAAGCGCCTGCTGATAGGTAGCGTACGCTTTCTGCACTCTGCAGCCAGCAGCCTGGCCCACGACTGCTCCAGAGCCTCCGGGTTCGCCAGGACAGACGAGGACACCCTTGCTGCAGGAGTCCGGGCCCTTCTTTATTGCTGCACACACAGCCGTGTGACGGGGGCACAGGGAAGCCATTGGCAGGCAAGTTTGGACAGAGAAGGCAGAGGAGCAGCCTCTCTGGTCCCACCTCCACCCCCAGAGTGCTTGGCGCCTTTACAGCAGCTTTGTTTACAGTGTACACAAAGGGCCCACTTTTTTTTTTTTTTAATCCTCACCAGAGGATATGTTTTGTTTTGTTTTTTAAAAGATTTTATTTATTTTTCAGAGAGGGGAAGGGAGGGAAAAAGAGGGAGAGAAACATTGATGTGTGAGAGAAACATCAGTCGTTTGCCTCTTGCACGCCTCCAACCAGTGACCTGGCCCGCAACCCAGGCATGTGCCCTGACTGGGAATCAAACTGGAAACCTTTCGGTTCACAGGCTGGCCAGTCCACTGAGCCACACCAGCCAGGGTGAGGATGTGTTTTTATTGATTTTCGAGAGAGAGGAAGGGGGAAAGAAAGAAAAACATTGATGTGAGAGAGGAACATCAATCAGTTTGCCTCCCATATGTACCCCGACTGAGAATCAAACCCGTGACCTTTCAGTGTACAGGATGATGCTTTGATTAACTGAGCCACCTGGCCAGGGCCTGAAGTCTGTTCACTTTTTAATTGAGCTGTAACTCACACGCTGTAAAATCCACCCCTTTATAAATGTGTGCCGTTCAGGATTGCTCGCACGCACACCGTGGTGGGCAGCCGTCCCTGCTGTCTCATCCGAGGTGCTCCATCACTGCAGAAGCACCCCGTGTTCCCAGCCCAGCTGGCCACGGGTCTCATCCTGCACACTTCTCTGTGGCTGCTCCCTTTGCCCAGCCTTGGGTCGTGTCTGATTTCCCGCTGCCGTTAGGAACAGCACTGCGGGAACATTAGTGAGCAGGTCTGTGTGGACAGCCGCTTTATTTCTCGGGCACACCTGGAGTGGCGTTGCAGAGTCACCTGGTAACTGCGTCCCCTCTGAGGACCTGCCAGACCAACGTCCCCAGCAGCTGCCTGGTCCCAGAGCCGTGCAGGAGGCCCCCGGGCGGTGCCTGTGTTTACCGGCTGTACCCTGAGTGCTGTGTGAGTGTCTTCATCCTGCTGACCCCCGGCACCCCCTGCCTGTGCCTTGTGATGCATAGTTCTCATGGCCGTAGTCTTCTTCCCTTACCACAAAAGCATTATCCATTATTGTAAAAAAGTTACAATTGCTCTTCCCATTATCAAAGGGACAGCCACTGACTGTGGTTTTGGAGGCCATGACACCCTCGGGCCGTGTCTACCCGTGCACCCACGGGTTCCTTCCAGTTTTCCCCTGCTCTGAATCTGCAGTGATGGGCTCTGTAAATACGTGTGCAGGAAGCGTTTCTGAGGTTTGCGTTTTCCCCTCAAGAGCTGGAGGAGCAGGGTCACTGGTCAGGGGCTGCCTCGTGATCGGTCCATGTCGCCTGTACTGTGTGGGGTTTCACCTGTCCCTGGCCCACCGTGTGGCAGGTGCTGGGTGCTCAGCAGTCTCGGGGTTACAGGGTCACAGGGAGGGGTGGCGGGAAGTGGGGGCTTCTCTGAGGGAGCGAAACCCCGCCCCCCTGAAGGTGTCTGCAGGCAAGTGCATCTCCTTCCCATCCTGACCTCACCTGTGTCCTGGGCATCGCTGTTCCAGAGGCGGGCGGGCCCTGATTGATCTCGCTGTCCGGCCATGGCTGCTCCCGTCAGGGTGTCTGTCCTTGCTGCGCCTCTGAGCCCGTTTCTGCATCTGTAAAACAAGTGTGATGGTGCCCACCTCAGAGGGACCCGCATTTCAAATGAGTCCCCAGCCCCCACCTGGCCTGTGAGGCCCCGCGGGAGAGTCTGCGCACCGCCCGCGCCTGCCTGGGTCTGCCTTGGCCTTTGCACCCACTGTCCCTCTCCCTCCCCGCGTGCTCCTCCTCCAGGCTGCCCCTCTCTGCCTCCTCCTCGGAGGTCCTGCCATACCTCCCTGACCCTTCTCCTGCTGCTTATGGCCCCGTGGGTCTTGGTACCTGAGAATGTGGGGAAGGGCCGAGGCAGGCCGCCTGCCCACAGCGCTCTGCACGGGAAAGGGAGCTGCCGCAGGGGTGGGCTGGTGGTTCTGGGTGTATGCAGCCTGCTTGCTGCACCCCCCAACCCCCCAGGTTGTGCGTGACCTCCTCAGGCTGGTTCCCTGTCTGGTGGGGACAAGCCCAGGCTGTTTCTCCACCATCCTTTCTGTCTGCGGGACGGGCTGGGGACTCTGCAGCGGGTGCTGATTGAACTGAGATGCTCTGCCCTCCTGGGCCCTCTGCCCGGCGTTACATAAACTGTTCCTTTCTCGTTCCCTTCTAACAGGGACCCACACATGGAGCTGCGGGAAGAGGCCTGGTCTCCGGGGCCGCTGGATTCCGAGGACCAGCAGATGGCCAGTCACGAGAACCCAGGTGAGGTGGCCTCCGCAGGTGTCAGCGGGCCCGCTCCCGCCCCCCGGACCCGTGTCTCTGGGATCACCCATCCTTCCTGCAGAGGCCCCTCCTGAGCTGAGGAGTCTCCAAGTTCCCTTCCGGTTGCCGGCCCCGGGGGCGCCTTCTCACCGGCCCTTGTGTAGGGGTCGCCCCTGCTCTCCCTATTCTCCCAGGCAGCACACTTGCGGTGGACCGGGGCGTTGCTGCTGGTGGCCGGGAGGTCACGGGTAGAGAAGGATCGGACTGCAGGGAAAGCTGGGTACCTGGGGTTTTACGTGAAATCGTTCACTTTAAATTCGGCAGCGGGTTTACTTAATAAAGTGTTTGGGTTGAATAAAACATCCTTCAGCGGAAGCCGGGTTCCCTGTTCCAGGGCTTTCACACGGGGCACCCGGGAAACAGTTCCTTCAGGCTGCTGCCCGTGACCCACCACGCCGGCGTCTCGCTGGCGCTGCTGAGGGCCGCTGTGGGAGCACTTCCGGTGCGCCCCGGAAGCGGAAGTAGCCACTGACTGCGGAAGTGAGTGGGTGCGACTGCGTGCCAATAAAACTACACGCCGCGCAGGCGCTGACTGTGCAGCCCCTGCGCCCGGACTGCCCGGGGGGCCTGGGGTCCAGTGAGGGGATGTGATGAAGCTTCCCGGCCCCTGAGTTTACACGTCTGAGATCCGCTGAGGAGAGTGAGGAGCCCGCGGCAGCCCCGGCCGCGTTGATGGGGGTGGGCCGTGGGGGCCTTCGCCTGTCCTTCCCCTTTTCGCCCCCGGCCAGCTCCCTCCTCTTCCCTGGCTCATGTCCTTGGCCTTTTTGTCTTTTAAAAATTAACTTGAAAATCTGGTTCACTGTGGAAATTTCAAACAAATTAGTGTAATGATTGTCCACTCTGCTCCACCAGCTTCAGCGATTAGCAACACTTGACCAGTCTTGTTTGACCACTGTGCCCCTAGTTCTGTGGGTTTGTTTTTCCTGGAGTATTTCAACGAAAGTCCCAGACATTACATCGTTTCACCTATAAATTCTCCAACAGAGATAAAGGCTCAAAAAAAAAAACAACCACTCCCAAAACCCACAACAAACACAAACTCCAAAGAAACAAAAAAACCTACAAAATGTTTATCTCACATAATAAAAAGTTACTGTCTAATATGATCTAACAGTCCGTGTTAAAATATTCAGAGTTGCCTCCAAAATGTATGTGTCCCTTGGAGTTAGCTAAGTTTTAACTTTACAAGTTACCAGTCATATTTTCTCCATATAACTTCCAAGGAGTGCAGGTGGGTTCTCACGTCCCCTGTGTGTGTCTCTCTGTCCCCAACCTGTTTAACCCACCGGGAGTCTCTTGGAGATCTCTCCGGGGGTCCCCCCACCTTGTAATGTCCCCTTATCTCCGCTGACCTTGGTCCTGCCTGTGATGTGACAGTGCCAGGCTGACACCCACTGGGGAGCGGGCTCGGCCTGGAGTAGCTGCCCGGTCCGTTTCCCTCTGGCCTGTCAGTGAGGGATGCGAGGCCCGGGGAAGGGCGGGCACATGGACGGCTGGAGGGTCTCCTTGGAGAGGTGAGTGAGTGTCCCCTGATGCAAGATCATCGTAGCAGGCTCCCATCCAAGCACAAGGAGGCGTCCAGCCCTGAGGCACCCTAGTGCCCCTGGCTGAGTAAAGTCAGGTCCTCTGCTGACTTCGAGGCACTGGGGCCCACAGAGGAGTCACTGAGGGAGAGGAGAGAAGGGCAGCCCCGGGGGAGGAGGCGGCGCGTGCACGCTGAGCCATAGTGGGTGTAGAGTGCCCACGGAGCCCTGGTGTCGGTCAGGGACCAGATGCAGCTGTGCTCCAAGGAGAAAGGGGTGGTACGCACACGGACTGAGAGCCATCCAGCAGGACGGCCTTGGGGTCTCCCTGTGTCCTGACCCTGCGCACACTAGACTCCTGTGCACGTGCACACCTATAGTCAAATACGTCTTGAAGGAGGCCAGTCGGCCCTGCCAGACCCCGGCCGCCGGATTGCCAGATCGCCAGCTGCACTGACTTGCCTGACATCCCTGTGTCCACCCTTGTCCATGGCTACCAGCATGAGCCTGTTGAAATGGAGGCCAGGTACTGGCTCATCTGGAGCGGTACCCACGCCCTCCGCTCACCTGGTCTGTGGCCAGTTGGCATGTCGTCCCCAGCATGGATGCATCCCAGCACAATCGTGGGGAGCCCTAACTGGTTTGGTGTTACAAACGGGATTCCAGCAAAGATCATCTCTTTGGAGAGGCCTGTCAGCACAGGCTTTGCTGAGGAAGGGGCTTCCTGCTGAAGGAGATGGGGAGGCTGATGGAGAGGCCGTGGCCAATGTGGAGCAAAGGCCCCACGGAGAGTTCGAGGAAGGACACAAGGCAGCTGCCCAGAGAACCCACCCAGTGGTGGCTTCAACCAAAAGGACATTGAATGGTCCTGGCATTGGGCTGGAGGTGGGTGGTTCCAAGGATGGTTAATTCTGCCACCGATGTCCAGGCCCTGGTGGCCTCTGTGCTGTCCAGAGATGGAGCCTCAGCTCCAGCTGTCACTCCCTCCTAGGAAACCACCAAGGGCAGGAGGACAGGACGGAAGGAAAGGGCGGGGTGAGAGAGGCAGGGCTTACTTCCTGGGCCCTCTGTCAGCCCCCAGCTCAGGTCTCACTGGCAATTACGGGACACGTGATGTAGGGAGGTGGCCTCAGAGTCACCTTGAGTGGCTTATTCTGGCTCAGCCCTGTGCTTGGGACTTTCTGGTGAGGAAGAAGGGACTGCCCCAGCTTTGTCTAGTGTTGCGTGGGCACAGGAGTGCGCTGGGAGCTGCCTGAAGGCATCGTGGCAAAGGATGCTGAGCCTGGTGGGGGGCTGTCCTTCTGTGAAGGTGGCCGGCTGCTTGGAGACGGGGGCAGCCTTTCCCAGGGCCATCGTGGACCAGAGGCTTCTTCCCCAAGGCCTGGGGTTTCGCAAACTGGGTGTTCCTTGGAGACTGTGGGCTGGGTGCTAGGGCTTCAGGTGTGCGTGAGAAGGCCAGGCTGCAGGATGAAATGTCTGAAGAAGAGATTCTGGTCCTCTCTGTCCTCCGAAGTTGGAACTTCCCCGTCCTGATGACAAGAAGGTGCCTTGAGAGAGATGGCAAAGGACACTGTCACGTAGGGCAGCCCTCAGCTGCCTCCGTTCTCCGTAGGGCGAGGTGGTTCCAGCTCCGCGGCGTGTTCCGACTGTTCTCTAAGCCCTGAGTCGTTCATGTGATTGCTTCCCGGGTCTGCACACAGCCCAGGCTTGTGTGTGTGGGGGATGGAAATACAGTTCCCCAGGACAGTCCTCTCTGCAGACAGCGCAAGGACATCTCCCATCGTCTGTCATTCACCTGCCGGTCAAGTTGGCCCCGCTGCTGGGCTGTCAGCCGTGGTGAGTGTGCTGCCCGGGCTGGCACGGTGCTTTTCCAGTCTGTGACTGAGATGGAAGAGAACTAAGAAGTCAATTTTGCTTTCAAATGAGATCGGCTTACACACAGAATTTGGGAACCTCGGAAACGTTAATCATTTTCGGCTGTATGTGAACGTTGGCAGGGAGAGTGTCCAGATTTCTGAGTGCTGCTGTTGGTAGTGGCCGCTGCTCTGTGGGGTCATCTCATGGGACTCTCACCCTTCCTGGTCGCTGCTCAGAGGAGCTGGGCGTGGGGGCGGCAGTCTGCTGCACTGTCTCACAGGCAAGTCCATGGTGGTGAGGAGGGCAGACCCGAGGCCCAGGGCCCGGCGGGCTTCCCACTGCTGCCTCTGGCCCCTGGTCCTGGTGGCCCCAGCCTGCGGTCCCTGGGGTGGGATGCCAGGGGCGTGGGGGCGGGCAGTGGTGGGGGAACAGAGCCTTACAGGCGCATCTCAGGGGCTTGGCCATAGGTATTCAGAAAGAGAAGTGATCCAAAAAATGAATAGAAATACAAAAGATCCTGAATTTGAGGAAGTGGCAACAAGGAAGATGGCAGCTGGTGTCCTGGGAGTCACCTGCAGGGGATGGAGCTCCGATGTCCCCGTGAGCTTGCCATCATGGGTCACTGTGCTTCAGACTCCTGAGAGGTCACTTCGGATGCTGGGTCTGAGCCCTGAATCCGAAAGCCCCACGTAAACCACAGCACCTCATGGCAAACCCATCTCCTCTGGGGGACCACGCTGATAGCATGCCTCAGGTGCAGAGGTGTCCCTGTGAGCCCACGAGTAGAGTTGGGTGGGAACAAACCAGCAGCCACATGCCTGTGTGGTGCTGCTGTCCTTGGCCCATCACAGCCGCCTCACGTGGTCACCCACGTGGTCCGCGGGACAGCGTTGGGGCGCTGTGTGCCTGCTGTGCGCGGTGCTGGGGCACCAGGGTGCGTCGGGGGCAGGCCCGTGCTGCCCGGGGCGTCAGAGGCCTCCGGAGGCCCGGGCTGAGGCGCCCGCCTTGGCCCTCTGACTGGCTCAGGCCCAGCCGGCGGGGGCTGCGGCCAGCGCAGCAGACCTGTCTCCGGCTGGACGCCGAGGCGGAGGCCGGGCCGCTCATCTTTCCCCGGAGACTGCTCGGGGCCAGGTCTGGTGTGAACGTGAGCGTGGCTTTGTTGGGCAGCCTGGCCGTGGGGGTGCCTTCGGTTTGCAGACAGCAAGACCAAGGCCCCACTGAGCAGACAGGACTCAGAGGAAAACCAGGGACCCGTGTGAGGATGTCTGTCATAGTGGCCGCGCTATTGGAGGGCTCGTGGGGAGCAGGGCTTCGCTGCTGGCCTGCGGTCCTGTCACCGGGCCGGTCCCCTCTCCTCCTCTCCCCACCCTGCAGCCAGGGGAGTGTCTTCGGGCCCACAGGCGACACCGTCGCTCCCTCCCGGCGGGTGTGCTCTCGGCCCCTGTGCTCAGGGCTGGCCCCTGCTGGGGCCGCCCTCTCATTGGGCTCCCCCATCACCTCCTGCCCCCAACCTGGCGTCCCGGCTCCGTCCCAGACGCTGTTCCAGGTGTGGAGGGGCGGCTGTGGAGAAGTGCGAGGGGGTGGGCTCCGGACGGGTGGTGGTCAGTGGAGGCGGGACCAAGGGCGCCCCGAGGAAGAGCGCAGGCGGCGGGCGGAGGCGGATGGGACACCTCCGGCTGTGCGGACAGGCGCGCCGCCGCTGCCACTGCCCGCGTTTGCGCACCGGGGTGACGGGGTAGCAGGCTGTGCGGACGGGCGGGCGGGGCGGCTGGGGTCAGGCCCGCTGCCCTGGCAGGCCCTGGGGCTCGCACACCTGGATGGGTCCCATATGAGCTGGTCTCTGACGCCTCTCCCCTCCCACCCTTTTGCCTCCTAGTGGACATCCTCATCATGGATGACGACGACGTCCCCACCTGGCCCCCCACCAAGCTGTCCCCGCCCCAGTCGGCGCCTCCTGCTGGTCCCCCACCCCGACCGCGGCCGCCCGCCCCCTACATTTGCAACGAGTGCGGCAAGAGCTTCAGCCACTGGTCCAAGCTGACGCGGCACCAGCGCACGCACACGGGCGAGCGGCCCAATGCCTGCACCGACTGCGGCAAGACCTTCTCGCAGAGCTCGCACCTGGTGCAGCACCGGCGCATCCACACCGGCGAGAAGCCCTACGCCTGCTCCGAGTGCGGCAAGCGCTTCAGTTGGAGCTCCAACCTCATGCAGCACCAGCGCATCCACACGGGCGAGAAGCCCTACGCCTGCCCCGAGTGCGGCCGCAGCTTCACGCAGAGCAAGAGCCTGGCCAAGCACCGGCGCTCGCACAGCGGCCTGAAGCCCTTCGTGTGCCCGCGCTGCGGCCGCGGCTTCAGCCAGCCCAAGAGCCTGGCGCGCCATCTGCGCCTGCACCCGGAGCTGTCAGGGCCTGGCGTGGCGGCCAAGGTGCTGGCGGCCAGCGTGCGCCGGGCCAAGGCGCCCGAGGAGGCGGCGGCGGCGGACGGCGAGATCGCCATCCCCGTGGGCGACGGGGACGGCATCATTGTGGTGGGCGCGCCAGGGGAGGGGGCCGCGGCGGGTACGGCCGTGGCGGGCGCGGGGGCCAAGGTGCCTGGGCCCCGCTCGCGGCGCGCGCCGGCCCCCAAGCCCTACGTGTGCATGGAGTGCGGGCAGGGCTTCGGGCAGGCGGCCGGGCTCCTGGCGCACCAGCGCGCTCAGCACGGGGATGGGATCGGGGCGGCGGGGGGCGAGGAGCCCGCGCACATCTGCGTGGAGTGCGGCGAGGGCTTCGTGCAGGGCGCGGCGCTGCGCAGACACAAGAAGGTCCACGCGGTGGGCGCGCCCTCCGTCTGCAGCCGCTGCGGACAGAGCTACTACCGGGCCGGCGGGGACGACGCCGACGAGGAGGAGGCGGCCGGCGGCCAGTGCAGCGAGTGCCGCGGCGGGGAGGCCCGGTAGGGACGGGGGGCCCGGGGGGGGGGCAGGGCCCCTCGGGCTCGGCGGGAGCGATGGCGCAGGACCCAGAGACCCCGGAAGAAGTGGACCGAGGGGGCCGTACCCGCAGTGGCCTCAGGGAGGGGCGCCGGGGTGCTCGCCTCGCCGCCGCGCCCGTTCCGCGTCCTGGCGCCGGACCTGGCCTGCCCCTTGTAGGTTCTCGGCAGAGCCCGAGAGAGAGGATGTGAACTAGAGACCAAGAGACGACAGACCCAGGCGCGAAAGACCGTTTCCTCACTTTCTCTTCCGCCACCGTCGGGGGCATGGCAAGGAACGGAGAGCAGTCGGCCCTTCTGTTTAGAGTGGGGCCCAGAGAGGGAAGGGAAAGAGGGGTCCTTTTCCCTTTTAGAATTTTCTTTTAATTGTACCCACCCGACCCCATCCACCGTTGTTTTTCCTCCTCTCCCATGGGTTCGTTCTTTTTCTTGCCCAAGCCCTCTCTCCCCGCCCCGGGCCTGGGGGCACAGGAGTGGCAAGCAGAGCCCGGTGGCGCCCAGGTGCCCTCCAAGAACGGGCGTCCCTATTCCAGGCCTGGGCGGAGGAGGAGGGGTGCGGGGGCCAATAAAGGGCACTATCCGATTGTCTCCGCTGCGCCTGGTTCTTGAGTCGGGCAGGAGACGGGCCGGCGGACGTGCCCCGGGGCCCTCCGAGGCGGCGGCTGTGCAGGGGCGCCGCCCCGGGGCCTGGATTGCGCAGAGAGGAGCGGCTGCCCGGCTGCCCAGCGGGTCCGTGCCCGCCTGGGGTGCGGACTGGGCTGTTGTCCTGGAAGAGTGGCCCGACCAGGTCACCTGCAGCGGGCTCTGGGCTGCAGAGGGACGGCCACCGCACCTCCCGGCCTGTGAGGAACTGTGGCTGCAGGCCGCTGCTGCTTTTCAAAAGGACCTCACAGTCTCAGTTAACACAGGTCCTGTCCACTCAAGGGACAGAGGGTGGCGGGTGGTTTTCCCCCAAAAGACAGTGAGGAGCACGCGCCCCCTTCTCGGCCTGCCCAAGGTCCCTCCCTCCACCCCCCCGCCGGGGGTCCTTGGCCTGGGAATGCACCTGTGCCCTCTCCTCACATCCCGCTGGGGGGTGGGTCACGCCTCACTACAGAGGAGGCTGGAAGTGTCCTTGCTGGGCGGCTGCTTCCCCGGGAGGAAGCTGCACTATGGGCCGGGGAGAAGGCGCCGGTGGGCGGCCGCCTGTCTGCCTGGGGCCCGGCTGCAGGGGCCAGCCAGGGGGCGGGGCGGCCGTTGCGCCGGCCTGCGAGGCCAGGGCTGCGCGCACGCGGCTCTTCGGGGCCGGGTCCAGTTTCCTGGAACCCGCAGCCGGAGTCCCGCGGACCCGTGTCCCCGGGATCGTGGGAGACGGGCGTGGGCTGACGGGTCGGGGAGACAGCCCTGCCAGCGGCTGTTTCCAGCCCGGCTGGACGGCCGCGGTTGTGCGGCGGAGGCCGGAGAGGGCTCCACGCGCCCGTATCCTCCGCAGACACGGAGGGGATCAGCGTGCGAGGAGGGGCGGAAGGAGGAAGCGAGATTTCCGGTTTGAGCCCCGAATCTGCCAGCAGGGGCTCTGCCACCCTTGGGCAGATCGCGTCCCGCCGCCGCCTTCCCCGCCCCCCGCGCCGCCCCCAGGGGGCTTCAGGTATGGCGAGGTCGGGGCGGCCCCTGGGCGCCGGGCGGGGCTCCCGGGGAGGATGCATTAGGCCTTCAGGGTGTGATTTTTAGGTCGGAGAGGCGTGTTTTCCAGCGGCCCTCACCTTGCTTGGGATTGGCGAACTCGGTTCGGTTGATTTGGGCGCCTCGGGTCACTTTAACGGAGGGAAGGGGTGAAACTCGGCCCGGAGAGGGCCCAGGGCCTCGGGGGGCCGCTCCGCTGTCGCTCCCGCGGAGGCCGGCAGCGGGGCTGGCCGCGCTCGCTGGCGAGGGGGCGGGGGGGCGTCGCCGGGAGGCGGGCGCAGCGAGAGCCCGCACTCAAGTTGCCGCGCCCTCTGCTTCCGACCCAGGGACCGGGGCCGAGAAAGGTCAGGGGCCAAGTTCCACGGCCGCCAGTGGGCTGTGTGGCCCTGGGCAGGCGGACTCCCCGTCCTGACCCTTGGGTCCTCTTCTGCGCAACGAAGAGCTTGCTTGTCCCCTGTTCCTGTTTCGAGGGCCACCCTGGGGGTGTCTGGAAGGGCCTGGCGCTCCGTCCCTGATACAGGGTTTTTAAAGCCCGGAGTGACCCGACCTGGACACACCGGCGGCCCGTGTCGGTCTTCCAGCTCCGCAGCGCGGATTCAGGAGCGCCGGGTGCTCAGCACAAGCAGACAGGGGAACTGGGTGCGCCGGTGTATGCGGGGCTGACGCGGGGCTGGGAACCCGTTCACCGTGTACACACGTGTTTCAAATCTACGCGGGGTACACCTCGGACATCTCACCGTTTGTCTGTCCAGAATCCCTCCAGAAAGCTGAAAGGAAACACAGGGAGAATGAAGCTTTTGGAGGCCTGCAGTGGTGACCCTGGCCTCCTTTCCAGGGTCTTGGGCCGGAATTTTAAATCAGGTGTTAACTGTAAACACCTGGGCTCCTGGTTTCTCTCAGAGCAATCAGGTCTGGCGGCACCGGGGCTGCGTGCTGAAAGGAGACAGCGCGCTGGAGGGGTGCGCGCGCGCGCGTGTGTGCGTGTGCGTGTGCGTGTGCGTGTGCGTGTCTCTCTCTCTCCATCCTTCAGAGTCAGACATGGCCGGAGACCCGAGCCAGGGGCTGTCTGTTGTTCTTGGTAACAGGGCCCCGGAGCAGGGGTCTGTCCGGCTTGTAGACCCACCTGCTTTGGGCCTCTCTTCCAGCTGGCGGAGTTGGTTCTGAAGGCCCAGGGCTTGCCTCTGGGATAGACACCCCTCGCTGCAACCGGGGAAGGCAGGTCTAGGCTACATGCAAATACAACGCCCTCTTATATAAGGGAATGGAGCATCCGTGGGTTTTGGTATCTGGGGGGGTTCCTGCAAGCAACCCCCGCGGACACTGAGGGACGACCGCGTGCATCTTTGGGTGTGTACGTGTGTGCCTGTGTGTCTGTGGGTATTGCTGTGTCTCTTAGAATCCACTCATCTTTTCCCTTCCACTTACCTCCCAGAGAGGTAAAACATGTTTTAAGAAATTTTATTTATTTTCAGAGAGAGGGGAAGGAAAGGAGAAAGAGAGGAAGAGAAACCTGATGTGAGAGAAAAAAATCAATCCGTTGCCTTTCGCACACCCCCACCTGGGGCCCTGGCCCACGACCCGGGCCTGTGCCCTGACCGGGTCCGACGGGTGATCTTTCAGGCCATGGGTTGGTGCTCAGTCCACTGAGCCACACCAGCCAGGGCCAGGTAAAACATTTTATTTACCTGGTCCCTGCCCAATGCATAGTTAGACGGTTTCCCGCCCTCTGCTACTCTAAGGAGCCTGCAGAAAACTCTCTATCCCTGTCCTGGCCCCCGGCGGCTGCGTGAAAGGAACTGTGCATTTACTTCCGACAGGCAAGGCCTCTCCCCAGAGGTCAGACCGCCAGGCTGTGCTCCCAGCGGTGTACGAGGGACCGTCCCTGCCTGCACCCCCCAGGCCCCGCCCTGGGGAGGGGCCACACAGGTAAGGATTTGAGATGGCTGATACCTGAGAGACTCAGTGAAGGAAAATACCACTTCACGTGCACCTATTGCGTGCCCAGTGCTTCATGGACAGACATCGTGCCTGAAATTCATACTAACACTGGGCAGAGGAGACACACTGGGGCTGGGGTCTGCCCCCTGGTTCCACGGCACCGCACACGCGGCTCGATTTTGTTCGTTTCCGCAAAGCCGCTCGCCCAAGATCTGCCGATGGACAGTCGTCGCCAGGGGGATGGAATTGCTGCCCAGAGCCCCATCTAGCTCAGCAGCTCCCTCTGGCTGGACCCCCTGCCCTGGGCCTCAGCGGCGCCTCCCTCTCCTCAGCCCCGGTTGCTGCGGTGGGTGCATCCAGAGCGACTTATGAACAGCCTGTGTGTGTCCCCGGAGCTGCGGCGTGCAGGGCAGGAACGCCCCCTGCAACCCTGGAAGGACAGGATTCCTATTCGGGAGCTTCCTGGGGGTGGGGGTGGGGGGGCGGCAAGGGGCCAGGGGACTCTGGGAAAAGACCGGCACACGCCGCTGCCGTCTGGATTCTTGAGGACAGCACAGTGTCTGCGAAATGGGGAAACTAAGACAGCAGGGGATGTGCTGTGTCCGCGGGGTCGCCTTTTCGGGAATGTCAGAGTTGGAATCACGCGGTGCAGGGCCTTTCACGTTGGTTTCTTTCACTTAGTCACAGGCGTCTGAGGTTCCTTCAGGTCTTTTCATGGTTTCGTAGCTCTTTCTCTCTCCCTTTCTAAAACCTCACATGAGGACTTTTATTACTGATTTTAGAGAGAGAGAACGGGGGAAAGGGAGAAACGTCACCGGTTGCCTCCCCTACACTCCTGACCAGGGATCGAACCCACGACCTAGGTGTGCGCCCCGACCAGGGATCAAACCTGCAACCTTTTGGTGACCAGGACGACACTCCAACCAACAGAGCTACCCGGCCAGGGCCAGTCACATCCTCCTTTGACACTCCGATTTGTACTTCTTAAAAGTCCGCTTTCAACACCACCAGCGGGATGTTCTCGAAGTCCCCGCACCTTGCCGCCCCTGCCCTAGAGCAAGGACGCTTGACACTTTTGCCAAATGCTCAGTGTTTATTGGATTCCCTCCGCGTGCTCTGAGGTGGGGCAGACAATTTGTAGCGACTCAGGTCTTGTGACGCCTGAGGCCACCACATTCACCCAGGGGCAGAGGAGACACACAGGATCACCACCCGTGGGGGCTTTGTGACGATCACACATTTTCCGCCTTCGAGGAGGAACGCCGGGCACAGCGCGCCCCCCTGGACAGCGTTCAAGGTTCCTCTGTTAGTGTGAGTCCGGGCAGGCGGGGTTGCTCGCCTTCAGTTTTTCCACCAGTACCGCTCCTCTTCGTCAAAAGAATACCAGCCGTCACCAATCACGGTGTGTGGTTTCAGCGCTTGGACCTCCTCCAGCAGTTTCCTCGTTGGACCAGGATATTCCCACTTCCACAGCCTGCGGGGGGTTGGGGGGGGGCAGGAACGGAGCTCATGACTCGGGGAATTTGCTCCTTACTCCCCCCTCCTCCAAATTCCCAGGAACTGCCCATCAAGGATCCAAACCCTCATCTTGTTTGTTGAGGCTCCCCAGAGAATAAAAGCAAGTCCCTGTCCTTTGCAGGGACTGGCCCCTCGCAGCACACCGCCGAGCCGGCCTCTTACAGGGCTTGGAGGCACAGGGCGAACACGGGGGGGCGCCCGCCCTCCCACAGCTTATAATCCAGACGAGGACAGAGAAACGGGTCGTCACACAGATGCCTGGGGGGCGGGCTCCTGAGATGGCAATTAGGAGAATCCAGGGGCGACTCTTCTGTTCCCCTACGGAGCCCCACAGTCACGAGCTGACTTGGCCCGAGGCTGTGCTGCCTCATGGATCCTGACACAGACACTCGCTCTTCCCACCCGAACCTACCGCCTTTCCAGCTCGCTGGCTGAAGTGCCGGCCGCGAGCGCGCTCTCCGGCCACGTCGAGACTTCCTGTCCAGGGAGCCGCGTTCTGGAACCCACCGCTCGCCTCCCGTCTCTATTTCCCTTCTACATGCCCCCCGCCCGCCCCGCCCAGATCCTGCACTGCAACCACTGCTGTGTGCGTCTGGTGACTCCGCCTGCCACAACCTGATGCCTGGATAAATCGGTGAGCGGGGCCACACAGGAGAAGACAGCAGCTCAGCCGGGAACTTTCTCTCTTGATGTAAATGCGTCACAGCCGGCCTCCACCTTAGTCACATTTCAGCGTAGTGCAGTGGCGTTAAACACAATCATGTTGTTGTGCAACCATCATCACCCTCCAGCCACTTAACTCCTTCCTTCTACCCCAGCTAAAACTATGTGCCCATGACCTGGCTGGAGTGGCTCAGTGGCTTGAGCGCTGGCCTGTGAACCAAAAGGTCACTGGTTCAATTCCCAGCCAGGACCCATGGCTGGGTTGTGGGCCAGGTCCCCAGCAGGGGATGTGCCAGAGGCAACCGCTTAATATGTCTCTCACATTGATGTTTCCCTCTTTCTCCCTCCCTTCCTCCTCCTCTCTCTCTAAAAATAAATAAAGTCTTTAAAAAATAAACTATGTGCCCAGTAAACAACATGGGGCTTCTTCCCAGCCCCAGGGCTCCCCCGCCCCCACATTCTACTTTCTGTCTGTGGATGTGACCAGTCTAGGTACCTCACATTAAGTAGAATTATGATGCAGTATTTGTCTTTTTGTGTCTGTCTGGCTTATTTCACTCAGCATGTTTCTAAGGCTCATGAACATCGTAGCAGGTGTCAGAATTTCCTTCCTTATCAAGGCTGAATAAGAGATATTCCTCTGTGTGGACGGACCACATTTTGTTCATCCATTCGCCTGACAAAGGGACACAGGGTTGCTCCCACCTCTCAGTTGCTGTGAATCACGCTGCTGTGAACACAGGTGTGCAAATATCTTTCTGAGACCCTGCTTTCCGTACCTACAATTAATTACCCAGTCGTGGAATTGTCGGCTCAGACAGCAATTCTGTTCTTGGTGTTTTGGAAACAAACATTTGTATGTTGTCTTTCCACACTTCCTGAACCCACCCCAAAGGAAGCTTCGTGGTATCGGCTTGCTGCCCCGTCTCTGATTATCCCTGGGTCCCCAGCTCGCAGCTCGGTGCCCGCAACGCAGCGGGCATTTGGTGGGGAAACATCTGGTAGCTTAGCCATGGCCGTACTTTCTCTAATCAACTCCTCCGCCGACTAGCATGTAAGAGAAGGCCTGTGTCTGAGAAGACAACCGCCAGGACTCACCCAATAACTTGCAGGTTACATGTGGGGTGTTCGAAGGCTGGGCACAGCCTCTTTATTCCCTCAGGACCAAAATGGTTCCGCATTAGGTTCAGGCTGCTGAGGTTCTGGTTGCAGATGAGCGCTGAGGCCAGGACCCCACAGCAGTCAGACGTCAGCTTGCACGCCTCCAGCCTGCAGGGAGGGGGCCCAAGGACATCCCTGAAGATCAGCGGTCGATCTTTCTTCCTTCAACCCCCTTGACTTCCATTTTCATGGTTAAAAAAAAGATCAGGGGTGCCCTGGCTGGGTGGCGCAGTGGGTTGGAGCATTGTCCCATGCACCAAAGGTTGTGGGTTCCAATCCCAGCCAGGGCACATGCCTCAGTTGTGGGTTCGATCCCCAGGCTGGGCACATAGGAGAGGCAACAAATTGACATTTCTCTTTCTCCCCTACCTCTCTCTCTAAAAATCAATAAACATATCATCGAGTAAGAATTAAAAAGAAAAAAAGGGGAACAGTGGGCTCAGCTCCTCGAGTTTTCGGTCAGCAGTTCTGGGGAGGGACCAAAAAAACCAAATGTGCATTTCTAAGGAGTTTCCAGACGCCGCTTCTGGTTCTCATGCCCGGGGCTGCCGATGACTCACAGTTGTGCCAAGAACGGAAGGTGAAGGCTGAGAGAGCCTTGAACTGGGGAACAAAACGGAAAGTGGAGAAAGACTTGCGGAGAAAGTGAAAGACTTTTCATCTGAAACTGAAGAGATGAGAGGAAGTAAGCTCAGTGAGGTGGGGGGCGGGCAGGAAGGAGCGGCGTGCTTAGGAAATAGGTACCCCCTCCTTGTAGAAGGAGGGAGCGGGCGTCTCTGCGACGCCAGTGTGGACAGACGTCCGGGGTGGGTCAGGCAGGGGTGTGAGAGGCGGCCGGACATTTTAGGTCCCATTAAGGATTTAGGATCTTATCCTCAGAGCATGGGGAAACCAGAGAACATTGTGAGGTGTCGTAAAGGTCTTGTGGCAGGGCTCTTATACAGGGTCCAGCACAGGTAACGCCCCTTTCTTATTATAAAATCTTTTATTACAAAATCATAAGCATGCAATTCTGTAACAAGAATATCAAACTCAAGCACACCTTGGGATATTTTGGGCGAAGCGTTCAAATTAAAACTATAAATTACTATGCTCCTCTTATTATCTTACCAACCGCACCCAAGCAGGTGTTACTTCCACCAGACCCTGCGTATTTTAGAGATGCACCTCGGGGTACGCGGGGGTCGGACACGAAAACCCATAACTTGCTATGAAATAGGTCACCGGGTAGGTAGGTAGGTCAAACAAGCCGGTGTGTCTAGAAGTTGTCGACATCCTGATCACCAGATTGTGTGTATTTGGGAATTCCGAATTGGGAATTCAGCCTCATGTTTTGTTTTGTTTTTTAAAGATTTTATTTACTTTTAGAGGGAAGGGAAGGGAGAGAGGGAGAGAGAAAGAGGGAGAGAAACATCGATGTGTGGTTGCCTCTTGTGGGACCTGGCCTGAGACCCAGGCCTGCGCCCTGACTGGGAATCCAACTGGCATCCCTTTGATTCGCGGGCTGGCGCCGAATCCACGGAGCCACACCAGCCAGGGCTTAGCCTCCTGTTCTACAGGTTCATCTATGCTGTAGCATGTGTTAGCAATCCATTCCTTTTTCGCGGCTGAGTAATATTCCACCAAACACGCCAGCGCCATTTTTCACAAGCCTCCTGGGCGAGTCTGGGGCTGACTCTGCAGCATGAGAACTGCCAACGTGCCCACTGCCTGCCTGGCCCTTCGCTCCCGGCAGACTGCGTGTTCCGCAGCACCAAGACCAGCGCCCAGCTCGTCCGATAAACGTTTACGGAGGGCTTGCGACCTCCAGACAACGGTCCCAGTCCCCCCCACCCCGTTTCCCTCGCCCCACAGGTCGCGGCCCAGCGCGCTCTGCCCCTCCGGGGAGCCGGTGTTCTGCCTGATTGCATGGAATCGCGGGGCTCCGATCCGGGGCTCCGATCCCAGGCTCCGATCACACGCCTTCACGCTCAGGCCCCCTCCCTCCGCACCCAGCCCTCCAGGAGGCGACCCCGGGGGCCTACCCGAGTCTCCTCAGACATGTCGTCCTTTGCTTCAGTCCCTCGCACAGGGCCGCCACCCCCGCGTCGCCCAGGGCGTTGGCCGCGAGGTCCAGGCTCCTCAGATGCCTGCTCCGGGTGATCACGGCGCACAGGTTCTTGCAGCAGGTGGCTGTGAGGTGGCACTTCATCAACCTGCGAAAGGGTGTGTCTGTGTGAGTGTACAGGGACAGAGCTAGAGGCGGGTCTCTATTTCTAGCTCTATCTCTATCTCTATATCTGTGTCTAGAAGTTTTAGATGTCCTGATCACTGTAGATTTTGATAAAGATATGTAGAGAGATTTAGATAGATATACATAGATAGATATGTATAGAGAGATAGAGACAGATTTATATACAGAGAGAGAGAAAGAGAAAGGTGTGGAGAGAGGGAGAGAGAGAGAGAGATGTATATACAGAGACAGAGAAAGGGGGACAGACATGCAGAAGGCAAAGCGAACCGTTTTGGAGATTGCGGTGACCTTGACCTTCATGGATCATGTTCAGAGTCATTTCTGTCCTTGCCACACTCACTGTCCTGTACACCCCTCCACTTACCCGCAGACCCTGGGGTTAATTTTTGGTTCCAGGCCCCCCCTTCCTGACTCTGGCAGAGGAGATGCCCCCCGCAACCAGGGGAGACTCACTCCAGGTCCTGGAGGTGACACGACGTTTCCGCCAGGACCTCACACAGCAGGTTCACGCCATCGTCTCCCAAGGGGTTCGCGCTAAGGCTCAGGTGTGTCAGGTGGCGGTTGCTCATGAGTCCAAGGGCGAGGAAGCCGCAGCCCGTGGTGTCCAGGTCACATTCTCTTAGTCTGCAGGGCACATGCACGGGAAAGAGGGAGGTCACACCCCTGGCTCGGTGTCCCCTTGGGGAGGCCACTCAAAAAGAAAAGATCCTGATCCAAGGATATGTTTATTGATTTTAGAGAGAGAAGGAGGGTGAAGAGAGAGAAGGAGGGGGAAGAAAGAGAAGGAGGGGGAAGAGAGAGAAAGAGAAAGAGAGAGAAAGAGAGAGAGAGAGACATCAATTGGTTGCTTCCCATGCACAGGGCTCGAACACAGGACCCAGGCATGAGCCCTGACTGGGAATCGAACCCACAGCCTTTCGGTGAACAGGGCGGTGCTCTAACAAACGGAGCCACCCCGCAGCACTCAGCCACTTCCCTTAGCTTCGCTTGCTCCTCCTTTGGGAGGGGGCCGTGCCAGCACCTGAGAAGGTCGCTGGGCGTAGGTGAGAGGACGACCTGGACGTCCTCGGCACAGTGCCCAGCGCACGAGCTGGCTGCCGCGACCCTCTCTTTCCATTTTCTTTCAGACTCAAGGTAGGAGTTGCCTGTTGCTGCTGTAACAAACTACATGCCTTACGCCACGCGTGTCATCCCGCAGCTCTGGATGCCAGAGCCTCACTGTCGGCGGAGCTCTGTTCCCTCCGGGGCCGCCAGGGGAGAACCAGCTTCCCGCCTTTCCCGGCGTCTACAGGCTGCCCAGGCTCCCCCACCCTGGTCCCCGGCGGCAGCTTCATCCCTCTGACCTCTTTACTGTGTCTCCTCCGAGTCCCCCGCCTCTGTCCCTCCGTTATAAGGACTCTGGTGATGGCATTGAGCCCAGGTGGATGACCTGAGGCCACCTCCCTGTGTCAATGTCTGTCCACATCTGCAAAGTCCTTTTTGCCATGGAAGGTCCTCTACTCACAGGTTCCAAGGATGAGGGCATGGACAACTTTGGGCAGGGGGGACGGTCACACCATTCTATCATTCCATCTACCATACTCAGGATGTCCCCACCACCGAGTTACCAGGGACCCTTAGAATGCGTCATGAGGTAGACACGTGCAAGAATTTCTGCTTGGAGGTCTACCATGAACTCAGGTATATTTTTCAGTCCTATGAAGTCATTGGTCAACAAGATGGAATGACAGGAAGCAAAGTGATTCTGCTAAGCAAGCTGACAATAAGGAAGAGGAGTGACAAAGAAACTGTCCTTCTCACAATCAACCAGAGATTTGGGATCACCCTGGCCGGGTGGCTCCGTTGGTTAGAGCCTTGTCCCGTACACCAAAAGGTTGCGGGTTTGATCCCCAGTCGGGGTACATTCAGGAGGCAACTGAGAGATGTCTCTCCCCGCTCCCCATTCCTTTCTTTCTCAAATCAATCAACAGCCTCGGGTGAATATTTTTAAAAAAGATTTAGGATAGATGAGTCATTTAGCCACACAAGGAGGCAGTTGTTAAAATAGTGATAGGGACGCCGTGCTGTGCAACAGCGCCTTCCGGCTTGGTCTCCGCGGATTTGCCACACAGGTGTTTGGGCTGTCAGTCCAGCGTCTCTATTTGAAAACCTCATTTACTTACTATCCGACGTGTTCCTACCAGGATTTAAGCTGTGAAAAAAAATAGGGCGAGGAAGGATGGGTGGGGTGCCTATCGCTAGGGGCTGAGAGCGTTCACCCAAAGCAGGGGCTCCATAAATACAGCCGACTCGCATAGTCACGAGTTCTGCATTTGTGAGTTTGCCTCCTCCTTCCAATTTATTGGTGATCCCCCCTCCCCATCAATACTCGGGGTGCTCACAGTCCTTCAGGGACCCGTGCGGAAAAATGGGAGTCGCCTGTCACTCACGTTCCCAGCTAAGGTTGAACTCACGTCCAGTTCTCACTCTGCTGCAGACAAGTGTCTTTTCTGCAAGTGCCACATTTTCTGCATCCCTGTGGTTTTGGGGGTTGGGTGGCTTCCTTGTCTAAGACGGGGAGCTGGAGTGTGGCCTAGTGTGCTGAGCCCAGGAAAGCTGTGGGGGTTGCAGAGCTCGGCGATCGCCAAGCTCTAGAAGCGGCCCAAGGGCCCATCCGCAGAGGCGGTGGTGAAAAGTGTCCCTGGGACATTTGTGCAGCGGGACGCACCGTGGCTGGGAAAACGGAGAAACCCTTAACCTCTGACGACGGCACGGACGGACCTGGAGGGTATTCTGCTGAGTCAAATAAGCCAATCAGAGAAAGACAAGCACCGCGTGATCTCACCGATATGCGGAATCCAATGAACGAAACAGAAACAGAGGCAGGGACCCACGGAACGGCGGGCCCGCTGCCAGAGGGGCAGGGGCGGGGGGCTGGAGGAGGGAGGGGAAAGGACCAGCCCAAGCGCATGTGTGCCTGACCCGTAGACACGGACAACAGTGCGGGGACGGCCAGAGAGAAGGGGGTGCTGGGTAGAGGCGGGCAAAGCGGGGGCACGGAGACCTCGGTAACGGTGTCAACAATAAAAATAAAGTCAAAGAAAGAGAAAGCTGCGACGCGTTTTATGGAGGCGACGCGTGTGTTCTGCAGGGTCTGTGCAGGCATGCCTGACGGCACTGCTGGCCACAGCTCAGCACTGACAGATCGCCAGTAGGTGTTAGAGGTGGGGTGGAGACCAGAACCGCCCCAGACAAGCTTAGGTACGGACCCGCTGGGGAACGTGTCGTGACCGCGGTGACGGGAACCGAACCCCGAGTGTCCCCGGGGATCGTGGGCCAGCCTCCCTCATTCAGCCTCCTCGCTGACTTTGTGGAGCATGAATACCGCACGTCGCGACAAACGGCTGTATCGGAAGAACAACGTCCCACCGAGAGAAAATGCAAAGTGCACGCTCCCCACCCTTCGAGACAGACACACGCCATTGGCCACAAAGCTACCAAGTCCCCACAGGGGAGCGCGTTAGACTCACATCAGCCTCTGCAGAGCACAGGTGACAAGCTTCAAGGCTCGACACAACGCCGCCACACCTTCCGTCCCCAGCCTGTTGCCGGACAGGTCCAGGTGTGTCAGTCTCTGGTTGCATCGGAGCACCGAGGCCAGATCCCGGCAGGTGGCGGCCGTGAGGCCACAGCTCCCGAGTCTGCGAGGAGACAGCCCAGAAAAGGGATGAGAGGTCTGGACGTCGCGCGCCTCCCTTTCTTGCAAGGGAGGGGGAGAAAGGTCACCCCTGCGGCTGGCACGCGTCTTCACAGGCACACGGCGATGTCATACTGTGTCTGCATTTATCCTACAAACTCAACTGCGATGTTTCAGTGCAACAAGAACTCGTCGGTGTCGTGGAGGATTAGACCCGTGGCATCTCCAACGAGAGACACATAGGCCACGTGAATCTGCTCTCTCGTCCGGTTGTTCCTACTCCTACCCGCACGGTGGGGCGAGCTTTTGCCAAGACAAGTGGCCTTCCTCTTTAGAGGTACCTGCCTTCAACAGCTCGTCATGACCCTTAGACATAAACGAGATCGTTCGCCCGTGTCTCGAAGCTTAAGAAGCAATCAGACTTGGAAGTCAGGGCTCGAGAGTCCCTCCCTCCTAGCACTAGGACAAAGGGAAGTCCACGAACACACCTAACATGCTTAAAGCACGCGATCCGTAGTACTCAGAGCGATCTCTTTCGATAAAGGAATCGAGGGGACCGGGCTATGCCACCCCAAAATATGCTACTTTTGGACCATCTTCAGCTAATGGCAATCGAGAGAGAGCAGAAACAATAAGAACTCTCTGCCTGCCCCCCCCCCACAACTACCTGCCTAAAAGTGGGGCAAAGACGTCCCTTCCACAGGTGTTCCCCTCTCCCGCACCAGGGGAGGGCAATGCCCCTTGTCACCAGCAATGGAGATGAGTCGTCATTTAACCCTCATCTACCTTTAATTTCCCCCATATACTCCCTCGTCACATCCCCACAATTTCTCAGCCCTGGGAGCCCAACCCCCTTTCCTTTGTCTAGTTACTTCTCCACAGTTTATTGCTCTTTGTTAACATGGTATACAAGCTCCTGACTCTACCCTCTCCTTGGGTCTCTCACTTCCTTTCTGGGACGTCCTCACATACTTACAAAATTAACATCACTAAGATTTGCACGCCTGTTCTCTCGTTAATTTGTCTGTTGCCGGTTTAATCTGCAGGCTCCCAACATGGAACCTAAGAGTGTGCATAAAATGTCAGTTTCTTTCCCCCTCTCTTAAAGACTAGTGGAGAGACGGTATCCTGCTCCTACCATGCCCTTCTACGAAGGGCACTCTCTGCTATTTGTTTTCCAGCATTTGCTCTGGCTTTGCAACCGGGCTCCACGGGAGCAGGTGTGCGGGCCGCGGAGGGGAAGCACCCTGCCCAGAGGCGGGACAGCTCCAGGGAACAGGTCAGTTCTCAAGGTATCAGTTCTGCTTTGGCTGTGCCTTGTACTCCCGTGTGACCTTAGACAAGAGACTGTCCTCTTTCTGCCAGGGCCTGCTGTCTCGGTCAGTGAATGGCACACACGATCCCTGCCCGGGAGGCTCTTTGTGAAGACGGGGTGAATGGGAAGAGAACCCTTAGCCCAGGTGGCAGCTCTATCCGCCAGCCTGCGGCACTGGTGAAACTTTCAAGGATACCACGCAGCATTGTTAGCTATCGTCACCGTGCTGTGCAATAGACCCCCAGAACGTATGGCTGGAAGTCTGTGCCGTTCGGCTAACATCTCCCCGTGCACCCTCCTGCCCCCGCCTCAGCCCTCGGTAACCAGCATCTTCTCTCTGAGCCTGCGAGTTTGGCTCTGCCCGATCTTTCACAGCAGGTCAGACTGCAGGAGCAAAGACACCGGTGTTACTTCTTGGGTCTCTGTCAAACCTCAGCCCTGGGCACTCCCATGGGGTCAGACCTCCCAATCTCACCCTCGGCTCACGCATCCACCGGTTCCCCGCCCCCCCCCCCCGCCCCCCCCCCCCGTGCTCTCCTGCCTCCGTTCAGACAACACAACCCGGTGAAAGGAGGCACCGCTCACATCAGTTTCTGCAGGGCGCACCGCGAGACCTTCAAGGCCTCACAGAGAGGCGCGACGCTCTCGTCGGCCACCTCGTTTCCCGCGAGGCTCAGCGATCTCAGGCTGGTGGAGGTCAGCAGGACGTGGGACAGCAGCAGACAGCAGGTGTGGGTCAGTCCGCAGTCATCCAACCTGCAGACACAGCCCAGGTGACTCCCTCCCTCGGCTGTCCCCAGGGCAACCCAGCTTCCCCGGTCACCCCGTCTGCTGTGGCCTCAGAGTCGGAGCCCCTTCTGTTCCTCTGTTTGCCACATCCCCGCTCACCCCCAAGCCCGGGTCTTTAGGCGGCTCAAGTTCTTGATCAGGGCCCCCGAATCTTTCTTCTTCCCGGCAAGCCTGTCTCACTGCCTCCAACCCTGCCCGCCCCTCGCCACGCCTCTCTCTCCAGCATGGTTTTATTCACAGCGTTGATCGCCGGCCAACATTCCATCTGTGACATGCAACCCTGTAAGTTTAATGTATAAACATGCAGGTTTGATACATTTAGCTATGGTGATACAATTGCCACTGTAGAAATAGTTAACCCCTCTATCAGGTCACATAGTTACCATTTCTTCTTTTGTGGTGAGAATAATGATGATCCAGTCTCTTAGGAGACTAGGCAGTGGTTTCATCTGCAAAGAAAGCCCAGGAGGCCCCTTCCTCCAGGAAGCCCTCTTCCAGCTCTCTTGAGTTGCTTTACATTGGGCAAACAGCTTAGTGCCTTAATCTTACAAAACTTTTATCTTATTTTTGCTTATAGAACATATAGGTCTTTGCAAAGACAGACCTAAATGCCAATACCTATTTCCATAGTATACTCATCTTTTGGCAAAGGTTGCCCCCCAAAACTTACGTAAACTGACATACAGTTGAGTACCTAAATGAATAAGTAAATGGCCAAGTCATTTGGCAAGTTTGATGTCTGTCATGCAATATCATCGTCTATAATTATAATAGTGTAACACATTCCACGTCTAGGATCTGCCGTATTTTGCCATATGTACTGTGCACTTTTTTTGCCCAAATTTTTGAGGGGAAAACAAGGGTGCGCATTATACACAGGTGGTACCTGAAATACTTTGTATCTGTTCTTGTGTTTGGTAACTATTGGTTACATAAAATTTCTTGTACCATGATGCATTCAAAAATAAATGGCAAAATTCCTTCATAATGCAAAAAACGAGTATCTAAAGACAAACTGAAAGTTGCATTAAAAAATTAAAGCGCACAATTTTTTCCCTGAAAGCTTGGGCCAAAAAATGGGTGTGCACTATACACAACAAAATACGGTACTTCTCTCCTAGTTGCAAGTTTGTGGCCTTAAACAACATCTCCTGGTAACCAGCATTTTACTCTGTTTTCACAGATTCACCTTTGATTTGATTTTATTGTTTAGTTTTTGGAGTCCACGTGTAAGTGAGACCCTACAGCATTCGCCTTTCTCTGGCTGCTCAGCCTCCTCAGCACGGTGCCCTTGAAGCCTGCCCAGGTGGCTGCAAACGTCAGGATTCTTTGTACGGGTACAGCCCGCGTGATTTAACTATGCAAAGCTGTTCCTGCTTCCACGTGGAGGCAGAGCTGGACTACATTTCCCAGCCTGCCTTGCAGCAGGAACCATCACATGACTGCCTTCTGCCTAGGAGAGGGGGAGGGATTGGAACCTACTGGGTCAGGTCCCTAAAACCTCCAGGTCTCCGCTGAGTGCCCCCTCCTCCTTTAAGCTGAGTGTCTGTGCCCGATAGGGTCTTGGAAGTGTTAATGGCAGAACCCCCCCCCCACCTCAGCATCTGTCTGTAACCCCCTCGGGCTAATTCTAGAGGCAAGACATACCCCTGTGTCATTTCTGAGTCATTATACATTTTTGTGTGTATTTGTTTCCGGACCGATGAATACACTTCCACAGACGGCACAGTGTCAAGGACGGACTCTGCTGAATTGTAGACCAGCCTTGTAGAGTCCTCCCAACACGCGTGGACGGTGCGTCCTCCGGGGGTTCCGTTGTCTTGGCTAACCCAGGCGAGTCTGTGAGTCCCCTGAGAAGAGGAACCTGCTCCCACTCATCGGCACATCGCGGGACCCAACCCACAGCGTTGTGAGCGCCGTCGGAGCGCCCGGTGTGCCGAATGCGTGAGAAACGCATCTCCCGTTGAGCTTGCAATCAAAACGCTTCACTCTGCGGGCCGGTCTGTCTCTCAAAGCCACCTCCCATTTGGAGGGGGAGCCGGTCAACCATCCCCTCCCCTCCATCCAGCGCGCAGGCCTGGGACCACCGCAGAGGGGGAAACAGAACAACACTCCTGTCCTCAGAGTCACCACAAAAGGACAGTCACCTCCCACTGTAGACCTTGGCATTTTCTCTACTTGGTCCCCAGCGGCCTCTCTCGTCTTTTCTGACCATGCATCTCTTACTTAGTCTTTGAATCGGAGCTCCAGAGAGACGCGGCGGCTTCCGCTTCTTTCCCAGAGACCGCCGGTTATGACACCCACCCGGTGCTGGGCAAAGGCCTGTGCACGCAGGTCCTGGCCAGGACTTCCGCGCCCGGCTGGCTTCTGGGGTTACGTTCTCAAGAGGGAAGCTTGCGAGCTACACAGCTTTCCTGCACCGTGTGTGTCTGTAAATAAAGCTCGAGACAGAGTTCCTCTTCTGTGTCTCAGAACATCCCGGGCCTGGCCGTGCCTTCAGACCAGGTCACTGTAACCGACTACACCCAGGCCCAGGATAAACAAAACTGTGGTCACGGCCTCGGCCCTGAGAGAACCCAAACGTCCCTGAAGGCTGAACAGTCACACCAACCGTGGTACATGGTTGCCCCCCAATGGCACTTGGCAATACAAAGATACGCGCAGCCCTGGGCTGGTTAGTGTGTCGTCCCGCATACACCGAGGTTGCAGGTTCGATTCCCGTCAGGGCAGATCCAAGGATCAACCAACGAATGCAGAAATGAGGGGAACAACAAATCAGTGCTTCTCCCCCCCCCCCACAAAAATCAATCAATGAAAACACACTATGGATACGCAGAACAGACCAGACGAATCTCAAGGACACCTGCGGATCGGAAAAAAAAAAAAAAAAAAGGCATGTAGGCAGTGACCTGCTGTCGAGTCCATTTATAGTGTCCTCAAAACGACGAAATTATTGAGGTGGAGGACATGCGTTATGGGCAGGGATCAGGGACGGTGCAGGGTGGGGGGGGGTGTCCGTAGTACGAGAGGGTGGCCCTTGTGTACCGTGGTTACACTCCGGTCTCACGAATTCACATACACTGACATTTGATGCGATAAAAACGACGTAGAGTCACGTCCATTCATTGTAACCCTGCGGAGGTGCTGGTTTGGACGTTGTACTGTAGTCACGTGAGACACAGCCATAGGGAGAAACGGGCTGAAGGGAACATGGGAGTCCTCTGGGATTTTTTAAAAGTTTATGAAACGTCAAAAGTTACTTTTTTATTGCGGTGCAATAGGCACAACATAACAACGACCACCTCAGGCCTCTTTAGGCGCACAGCTCAGTGGCATTCGGTACATGCACGTTGCTGTACGACCAGTAACTATATCAAAATAAAAAGTAAAAGCAACACAACAACAACAACAACAACAACAACAACAAAACCCAAACAAACCCTACAGCCATACAAGCCAAAACTGTAGCCGGGACTCACCGTAAAGACTCCAGCACACAGTTAGGGTGCTTGAGCGCTTCATACGCTACGCCTATGTCTTCCTCCTGCAGGCGCGTGCTTTCCAAGTTCACGTGCTTAATAGTGGAGTTGATGATGAGAGTCTTCCAGAGGTGATGCAGGCCGAGTGTAAACTGTGTACCTTTGAATCTACAAAAGGGAAACAAGCGTGCGGATTAGAAGTATGGTAGCTTTTCCTTTTCATGTTCCTCCCATCCCAGCTTTCGTCTTTTGTTAACTGCATTCATTTAATTTTTTTAAAATTTTTTATTTATTTTAGAGAGAGGGGAAAGGAGGGAGAAAGGGAGCGAAGCATGGGTTAGTTGCTTCCCGTACGCCCCCTGCTGGGGACCCGGCCCAGCACCCAGGCCAAGTGCCCTGACTGGGGCTTGAACTGGTGACCTTTTGGTCCACAGGTTGGCGCTCGGTCCACTGAGCCACATCAGTCGGGGCACATTTTTTTTAATTTTAAAGCAACAAATACTTAAGCGCCTGTGGTGCCACAGGCCCTGGGAGGAGAGTATTGCCAATGTGAATACTCTGTGTTCTTGTGGCGCTTCAGCTAACGGAGCAGTCAGTCCCCAAAGAGACGCGCAAAAGGACCGGGCTTAAGAACGTAATACGGCAAATGCGCAAACCAAATCAAGACTGACTCATCGGCAGAGAGAACATTTTGACGGTCACCAGAGCGGAGGGGCGTTGGGGACCTGGGTGAAAAAGGGGAAGAGATTAAGCAGTACAGGTTGGCAGTTACGAAATAGTCACGGGGATGTAAAGTCCAGCATAGGGAATAGTCAATAATATTCTGATAACAATGTATGGTGCTAGGAGGGAACTGAAAGTATTGGGGGGGTGGGTGGATCACTTCATAAATTGTATAAATGTCCAATCACGAAGCTATACACCTGAAACTGATACTGAATATCCACAGTAATTGAAAAATAAAAAATTAAAAAAAAAATAAAGTGTCTCCCCCCAAAGAAGAAAATATGGTGTATCCATTAAGAAGATACCTCCACACGGTTCACGTTGAAAAGTCAAATGTCAGAACGGTACGTATAACCTGATACCCTTTGGGTTAAAAAAAAATCATCCGCCCACATGGACAGATGATTTGACAGAAAATACATGAGAGGAGAGAGCTGTGCCTCGGGAAGAACGGAAGCTGAGGAGGCTTTGGGGGGTGTACTTAGCACCTTTGTAAGCCCTGGGTCTCCTGGCCATGACTGGGAGTCACTGCTGTATTACAAATGCAGTGAGGAGCCCTGGCTGGTGCGGCTCAGTGGATGGAGCGCCGACCTGAGAACCAAAGCGTCGCCAGTTCGATCCCCAGTCAGGGCGCAGGCCTGGGTTGTGGGCCAGGTCCCCAATGGGGGGCGCTCAAGAGGCAACCACACACAGATGCTCTCTCCTTTTCTTTCTCCCTCCCTTCCCCTTTCTCTGAAATAAATAAAATCTTAAACAAACAAACAAACAAAAAACCCAGTGAGGTTGTGGATTAGAGCACATCATGGGGTGTGACCAGAGTTTAAAACAGGGGCAGCGACTGGGGAGGGTTTTCCCAGGGAAAGGCAGTCAGGTGACAGCTCACAGGGGCAGGACTTAAGGTGACAAGGGCATCGTTTGTTACTCCGGGGTCACCGAGCAACTTGGCACCGCCCCGTGTTACGAAGGCAGAACGACCACAAGGGGGAAGACATCCACAGCCAAGGACCTGACTGGCTCTAGTCTCGGGGACACAAGGGCTTTGCTTGGTCTTGGGAGGAAAATGAAAGAAAAGAAACTTCGAAGTTCAGCGAACTTTCCGTCTCCCTCTGCGGGTGCCTGGTGAGTATTCTGAGATGTACCAGAGACCCAGGGGCCATTAGACATTCAAATATTTGTGACCTCATGGATTAGCCTAACAGCACTAAGGACTGATGGAAAGTCATCTATAAATCATGCACTTTAATCTACCGCCTGCCTGAAATGAGCTCCCCTCCCTGTCCCCCTACGAATGAACTCCTATTCATCCTTCAAAACCCTGAATAAATGACCCCCAACCTCAGTAACCCCTTCCACAAGCTTCTTAGTCACTCCCGGCTCTGTGCTTTTGGGGAACTTGGTTCCTGTACCTCCCATAGCTCGTGTCCCCTCGGCATACATTTTATACGTTGGTCTTGGGAGGTGGGTGAGGAGACCTGTGACAAGTCACGTAGAGGGACATGTCCCAGGGGTTGGTGGACTCACATCAGCTTCTGTACTCTGCAGGTTGGCTGTCTCAGCTTGACGCACAGGGTCTTCACGGCCCACTCGCTCAGGATGCTGCTGCTGAGGTCCAGCTGCTGCAGGCTCGGGTGGGCGCCGAGCGCGGAGCAGAGGTTTTCCCACCACGCGTTCACCAGGGGCTTGATCTGCACCCTGCGTAGGGGAAGGGAAGAGACATTTGCCTCCACAGGGTGGATTTGAACATGGGCAACGGCCACAACCATGTCGGAGAAGAGAGACCAGGCTACTAGCACGAGACAGCGATGGCTTTGGCGGCTCGGAGGACACTTTAGCCATGTCCCTTGGTGCTCTGCACACTCCTGCCCGCCCTGTGTGCTGAGTATTGGGTGCACAGGGGTACACTAGCGTGGTTTGGATCCACGGGCTGCCGCACTGGATTGTGCTTAAAGTCTAGCTCCCCTTTGAATGTAAAAGGGTGCAGCCACTATGGAAAACAGTGTGGAGATTTCTCAAAACATTAAAGATAGCGCTGGCCGGGTGGCCCAGTTGATGGGAGCATTGTCCCGTACACCAAGAGGCTGCGGGTTCGATTCCTGGCCAGGGCACGTACCTAGGTTGCGGTTGGATCCCTGGTCGGGGCACATACAGGAGGCAACCGATCAATTTTTTTAGACTTATTTATTTTTAGAGAGGGAAAGGGAGGGAGAAAGAGAGGAGAGAAACATCAGTGTGTTGTTGTCTCTCATGTACCCCCTACTGGGCACCTGGCCCACAACCCAGGCCTGTGCCCTGACTGGGAATTGAACCAGCGACCCCTTGGTTCACAGGCCGGCACTCAATCCACTTAGCCAGCCACACCAGCCAGGGCTCAATCAATGTTTTTCTCTCACATCAATATTTCTCTCTCTCAAAAAAAAAAAAAAAAAAATCAATCAATAAACATATCCTCCAATAAGAATTTAAAATAATAAAAAATAAAACTTCCATATGATCCAATAATCCCAATTACATGATAGAATGGACATGAGGCTCCTAAGAGATATTTGCACTCTATTATTCACAACAGCCACAACCTAAACCTCTGGGGATGGGCGGATGGATAAAGAGAAGGTCACACGCAGCCCAGGGGGTTTTATTTGGCCTTAAAAAGAAGGTGCTGCCGCTTGCAACCACTCGGATAAACCCCGAGGACGTTACGCTGAGTGAGAAAAGCCAGGCACAGAAAGATGCGCACGACCTCACCTACAGAATCTAAAAAGCGGTTGAACTCACAGGGGCAGAGGGCGCCTGGCGGCTGCCGGGGGCAACAGCGGGGGAGAGGCGGGGAATGGGGACAGGTTGCACAAAGGGCACAGTCAGCTGCAGGAAAGGGACCGTCGGACCTACAGCTGTAGGCCGACCGTTAGCAATTCAATTAGTATCTCCAAACAGCAATACCTCCGTCAGGATGGAAGGATGAAATTGTGGGGGGCGGGGCGGGGGCTTGCTCACCCTTGCGGAATGACGGGCCGTGCCTCGGTGGACTCATCTTCGGGGAAGATCTCTCTGACGTTCATCTGAATTTTCTGCAAATGCTGGCAACGCTGGACACAGAAAGACGACACGAGCAGGTCCATCTGCCGGTTCACTGTCAGCCTCACTTCTTGGAAGCCGTTCAAGGCCGAACGGACGAACTCTTCATCTTGGGTCTCAAAGAGACAGTAGAAGGCGTCCAGGAAGTCCAGAGGGGAGGAGGTGTCGGCCTGCTGACCCAACAGAGAGACCCAGTGGAGAAGTACCCGCCTCACCACCAGGACGAGGGGACGTCCCAGCAAGTCCTCCAGCATCCGCACCACCTCTTGGTTCATGAGGCCAAACAGGAAACGCTTCATTGGGAGCAAGTGGGCGTTGCAGCTGCTCTGTCTGAGCTCCTTCAGAGCCGACCTGTTCTCCCCACACACAGGGCGGAGATCCCACTCCGTTTCCAGGCCTTCGAGAACATAGTGCAAGGCTGCGCAGAACTCCTGCAGGCTTCGGTGCAGGAACGTGACGCACCTTTCCCCGCGGGCGTCGTGGAGGAGGATGTTCCTGCGAAGCAGAGAGGAGAGCTCCGGCTCTGTCAGTCCGTGGACGCCCAGGTCATCGGCGTAAAACACAAACTTCATGGCCCAGATGCCCTCCGCGGCCGCCCGGCACAAGCCCTTCAAGGTGACGCGTTCCTCCGGGCTGAGGCTGCGCCTCGGTGCATCTCGAGGGGTGAGCTGATGCACCAGAAATGTGGCGTACAAGCCCGTGAGCACCTGGCAGGCGGGGGGCGGGCTCTTCCCCGACGCCGCCTGCAGCTCGAGAGCCTGGCAGATGAGAGACCGCACGGTGGACACCTGGCACCCGTCCATCAGCATGTGGTTGTCTGCCAGGGAGTGCAAGAGTTGCATTTTTTGGTCCTCGCTCTTGATGTGCTCGAGGAACAACTGGATCCTTCTTTCCATCGAGATTCCTTCGACAAGGAGGTAGCGGGGAGAGGCGACCATGGCTTTGAGCTTTTCCACGCCCACGTCGCTGACGGTGACTATTAGGGAGGACCCCGGGAGCAGGACCTTTTTCAGCAGACTACGGATCAGGACAGGCACCGCCTGCTTCTCTGTCCAGTCGGCACAGAGATGCGTGTCGGCATCTTTGAAGGAAGCGTCCAGGTCGTCAAAACCGTCGACCACAAACAAGAGCCTTTCTGGCTGGGACAGGATCTTCATCATGGGGACTGGGGAGTCTGGCCACTCCCTGGAAATTAACTCCGCAAAACTGTGTTTCCTCCTCAACGGAAGGTGCCTGGCGTCGAGGAAGAAGACGTAGGAGAACACACCCGGGTAGAGCTCCCCCTGAGCCCAGTGTAGCAGGATTCTTCTGGCCAAAGCCGACTTCCCCACCCCTGGTCTTCCGTGCAGGACCACGGTGAGGGGCCGGGAGCCTCGCGGGTCTGGCTTGAATGCAGCAAACAACGCGTGCGTTTGGGGACAATCAGAGGCAAAGCTTTCAAAACCATGGTGGGCACCCGACGTCCCGGCGAACTTCATCGTCACGTGGCGTTTGTAGGCCCATTCGTCACCCCCGTGGCCTACGTGGGGTCAGAGAGGGGAACAGGAAGCAGAGTTGGAAGACAGGCTGGATTTCAGACACGCTCCGTGCAAGAGACTTTGTTTCGTCCCGGCGACGTGTCCTTGGTTATGGGCTCCATCCCTCGTCCCTTCTCTCAAAGATCACATCCTCAAAGGCTTAAGAACTTTCTACCAAGTAATTCTGTTTGTCCCTTTAACCCAATTTTTCTTTTCAGCACCTAATTGCGGACACCTCATATTCTGGGGTTTTTTTTTTTTTGTACTCACCTAAGGATATTTTTAATTGATTTTGTAGAGAGAGGGAGAGGAGGAGAGAAGAGGGGAGAGAGAGAGAGAGACATCGATCTTCTACGTGCCTTGGCTGGGTACCTCCGTTGGTTGGAGTGTCACCCCCACACCCCAAAAGGTGTGGGTTCAAACCCCCACTGGGGCACATGTCTAGGTGAACGGTTCCATCCTGCCATCCTGGTTGAGGTGTATATGAGAGGCAACCAATCAATGTTTCTCACTCTCGCTGATGTTTCTCTCTCTCCCTCCCCACCCTTTCTCTCTAAAATCTATAAAAGTATCCTCAGGTAAGGATTTTAAAAAATAAAATAAACAAAGCGCTTGACTTGCTGTCTCTCTGTTCAGCACCTGCCCCACAAGCTGGTCTGGGGGGCCCAGGTTCTCTAAGATGAACTTTGGAATTTGAAATTCATCTTCATAAAGACGCACTGCCGATAACGACAGCGGGCATCGGGCACCCCGCGCGTGATGAGGGTCCCGGGGCCTCTGAAGGAAGGGATGGGCGCACCCGACAAACGAGGACACCGGAGGGGAAGCGGAGCCCCCAGCACCTGCACTCCTCAGACGGGCCACCCCCCTAACTTCATTCCAAGAGAGGAAAAAAAAAAAAAAAAAAGAATAAATCAGAGTTCTTTACCTTGGTCCTGTGTCTCTGCTGCTTCAGTACCATCTTGTTCCATAGCTTGTGACATTTCTGCAAAACAGAGAGGGAAGAAGAATAAACTCCTGCACAGGCAGGTGAGTTACCCAGGTCAGACCCAACAGTCTCTGCGGCACAGTGGGCGACGCCGGATTCCGTCCTCGGGCCCGGCTGGCACCACGGGCTCAGCCATAGGGCAGAGCGTACATGCAGTGAGCACTGGGTTCAAGATCGGAAGGTGTGGATTTGGGTCTTATTTCTGCTTTTTATTCTTTGGAGGCCTATGGGCAAGGCATTGAAATAAGAGGTCAGACCTAGTGGCTAAAAGACCTAAGTAAGGGTCTGGAGCCCTGGCTGGTGTGGCTTAGTTGGTTGGAGTGTCATCCAGCAGAATGAAAGGTTGTGGGGTCAATTCCGGGTCAGGGCATATGCCTCGGTTGTGGGTTCTGTCCCTGGTCAGGGCATGTATCAGAGGCCACCGATTGATGTTACACTCTCACATCGATGTTTCTCTCTCCCCTCATCCTCCCTTCCTCTCTCTAAAAGTCAACTAAAAGTTTAAAAAAAAAAAAAAAGAAAGAAAGAAAGAAAGAAAGAAAGAAAGAAAGAAAGGCCCTGGCTGGTGTGGCTCAGTGAATGGAGTACCAAACTCAATTTGGTTCAGCCTGTGAACCAAGGGGTCACTGGTTGGATTCCCAGTCAGGGCACAGGCCTGGGTGGTGGCCCAGGTCCCCAGTAGGGGGCGCATGAGAGGCAACCACACATTGATGTTTCTCTCCCTCTCTTCCCTCTCTCTAAAAATAAGTAAAATTTTTTAAAAAATTAAAAATAAAGAACACTAAGGTTCTGGAGCCAGACACTCGATCTAACTTGTGAATTCTGCCACGATTTGTGGGGACTCATACAACTCACTGGACTTCTGTGCCTCTGTATGTTGGTCTAAGGACAAGAGTTCCCATGTTGTGAAGTTGCTCTGAAGATTAAATGAGGTGGTTTGTTAGAGGAGAGCACAACCTCCAGCATCTTGCAGCTAACATTCACTGAGTCGCCATTATGTGTGCTTACTAAGAAACAGTTTCCTACAAGTGCAGCTACGTACGTGTTTGTCTTGGGTGACGTGGGGATGAACGCCCTGTTTTAGAAATAGTCATAAAGGTGGTGATAGTGTTGCCAGTTACAGGAAAATCATGTACTTGATCACAGGTGCAACGGGAAACCATTTCAGGATTGTTAAGCAGGGAGTAAAGGTATCATTAGGTGGAAAATTTTAAAAAGATTTTTTAATTTGTCAACTGATTTTAGAGCGAGAGAAAGAGAGAGGAAGGGGAAGAGAGACAGAGAGATGGGGGGAGAGAGAGACAGAGAGACGAAGAGGGAGAGAGAAACATCAGTCGGTTTTTCCACTCACTGATGCGTTCATTGGTTGCTTCCTGTGTGCGCTCTGATGGAGGTGCAACCAACCTTGGCTATTGGGATGAAGCGCTAACCCACGGAGCTACCTGTTCAGGGCTCGGAGGGAAATTTTTAAAAGATCGCCTTGGTCGTTACTGTGGGGAAAATGGATTTCACGTCACCAGAGTGGAAACAGGTTAGCGATTCAAGTGCCATGATTGTGATATACAGGCTACGGGAAGAAACGTCTAGAAACCAATCACACTTCAGAGCTAGGTCCCATGATTTCCTTCTGAATTAGGTAGAGGGCAGAGAAAAGAAAGAGTCAATCGATCAGAAATAAACGGATTGGAAAAACGACTGGGCTTTTGGTGGGAGTAGCTCCGTTGACGGTGGTGCCCTCGACTGAGGTAAAACCCACGTTACCCCCCGCCCCCCCACTGACCTGGAACTCCGTCCATGCTGGTCCCTTGGTCAGTCTTCGTGGGTGTCGAGTCTTCTCGTGTTTCAGTCGGTGAAGACTCTGTAACAGAGCAAATGACAGATGGTCTCCAAAACATCACGGCAATGACCCTGACCAGGGACGAGGGCACCCTCTGCCCAGATTCCTGAGGGGAACCGAGATGAGCCAGTGTACCCCGTGACCAGCCTGGGAGGGACGCAGGGCCTCAGGCACCACCGTCATGGAGAAGCAGCAGATGTTCGCGTGAGGAGTGCTCCAATTTTGAACTTGGAAACAGAAGCTTCTTTTTAAAATTGGTTTTTTTTTTTTTTTTTTTTTTTAGTTGAGAGAGAGAGAGAGAGGGACGGGGAGAGAGAGAGAGAGAGAGGAATCTGTTGTACTTATTCATGCATTCATTGGCTGTGGTCTCCCCTGGCTCTTGCTTTGCTAAGCCCTTCAAAAAGCTGTTAGCTTTTGCTCAGAATGTTCTTCTCCAACATGCCCAATAAGCTTGGCTGACTTCATTTCTGCCTCAGCCTAAACCTTACTTCTTCTAGGAAGTGATTCTAATCTTCACTTTCCTCTAGTCTGAAATAGCAACCTCTCATATTTTTCTACACCATCCATTTTAAAAATTGTCCCTTGCTCTGGCCAAGTGGTAAAGTCGGTTGGACCACTGTCCCACACACTGAAAGGCTGCGGGTTCAATCTCTGGTCAGGGCACACATAGGAGGTAACCAATCAATGTGTCTCTCTCGCATTGATGTCTATCTCTCTGTCTCTCTCCCCGCCCCCCACCCTTTCCTCACTCTACAATCAATAGAATTATCCTCAGGTGAGGATTTTTTTTTTTGAAGATTGCCCCTTTATCCCTCTCCCCACGGCACAAAAAGCTAGAACTCTCTGGTGTGTGACACATGAGAATTTAAAGATACGCTACATGACTGTTAAATGAGGAGCCTTATCTATGTCAGGCATTAGCGCCTGAGCTTGGTCAGGTTGGGGAACTCGGTGCATCCTGTGTTTCCTCCGCCGCCGCCACGGGGAACCTGTTGTGCTGAGTAAGTCTGAGGCTCACGGTGGCGCGGGGCGGGGGTGGCGGGGGGCGCGCAGGCAGCAGAGTGCCGCACCTGGTGGACCAAGCGAGCAACATCTGCCATCATTTTAATGTTCGTACCCTCGTTTCCTGTGAACAATACCAACAAGCGTTCTGCACAGGGCTTTTTGAAGCTTGGAAGAGACAGTGTCTCCTAGGGTCCTTTGTCGCTACAGATGCTGAGTCACTTTAGGCATGTGGTGCCTGTGCTCTCCAGGGCCAGTCTGACTGCCCGCGCCTGGGACTCTTTGCTCAGCTTTCTGTCCGCGGTTGATGAAGAGAATTCCTCCTGGTAAAGGACAGCTATTATTTTTTTCCTACTACCTTTCTCCTAAAGGCCTGAAGATAATCCACCGGTTGATCTCAGTATATTGCTTTAATACAGCACCGACAGTCTGAGTAAGGTCCGTCCCTAGGAGGGTCCCCCAAACCTTCTGCTTGGGGTGAGAAATGGGGGGCGCCCATTGTTCAACCACCACAGTGTAGTCAGTGAATGGACGAAGCTTTGTTAACCACTTTCTCTATGTTATCTTATCAAACCAAACCTTTGCGATAGCACAAACCTCACAGCTCCTGTTCCAAGACACGGACCCCAAGGGTCAGAGTAGGAGGGGACACTCCCCAAGACGCAGGCATAACAAGGGGAAGCTCCAGAACGCAAGTTCAGTAGGTACGACTCTACATCCTGTCTGCTAATGTCAACCAAATTCTGTCCAGCTAGAGTGAGGGTCCTTCTAGTCATTTCTTCTCCCTCATTGTTTCCCGGGCTAGAGACGACACTAATTTCTAGCCAGGGAGGGTCACCAACAAGTCACTTCTTAGAGTTTGGGCTCACACTACACAGGTGGACCCAATGAGAGAACAGTGCTGCCCTCCCCATTCCCACAGGACCTTGACACCGCCCCCATCCGCCCCCCCGGCTCCTCTCTTACCCCTCATCTTTACTTACTTTCCATCTCATCCCTCGCCTTCTGAGAGAGTGCCGGCAGGTTCATCTCGTGAAAGATGTCCAGGCATATCTTCCAGACGAGAGGTCCACTACAATGCTCATGCAAGATGGACGCTAACTCTTCCGCGTGGCTGTCATCCACCTCCTCCCAGGGAAAAGAGCACGTGTCCAGTTCTGAAGTGTTTTCCTTTAGCAAGTCCTTAAATGTCTGAAACTCTTCTTTACTCAGCTGCCTGAGACACTCCTGCAGCCCAGAGTCGGGAGAGGGAGGTGGGCTGGCTTCCCCCATCTCAACGCGGGGCTGAGGGCTGCGGTGTTGATGGAAAGGCAGATGCTTTGGCTGCAGGGAGCAAATGGGACCTGGGTGGAGAGAGACAAAATTCAAAGGAGAGTCTTGCATCAAGTGATCACATTCAAACAGCCAGCCTCAATCAGCTCACTAGATGGCGTCACATTCTCCATGCCTTTGTTAAACACTCTGAGAGAAGTTCCGTTCACACAGGTAACAATTCTTCACAGACTAAAAAGGACTTGACAGGAAATCTATCTTGTTATTAGAGTACAAGCTGGGATGGTTTCCTGCCTGTATCCCTGGTTTCCAGAAAAGCCCCAGTCATAGAGCGAGATTCAAAAGCATATTCGTCCATGAATGCTTTTGGCTAATCTGTGAATACTCAGGAGAACTAGCAGATAATTTCCCACCACTTACTAAAAACCAGTTGCAGTTTTTATATTTATTTTTTTTGTTTTTTATGTTTTGTTTTAAAATTTTTATTGAAGAAATGTACTTTGGTGGCAAAAGAATAAACATGTGAAAATATCTGGGCTGACATATTTTCACATGCTCCCCTAGGGAGAGAATATTTTCCTAATTAAAATTATATCAGCAGAGAATAGTCGATTGAAGGTCCTGAGGGTTTCAAATTGATTAACCATAAAAATTAACTTTGAAGAAGATCAGATACTTCACGAAAATTTAATAACAAGTTGAAAAAAGATTTTTTTTTTATTGTTCAAATACATTTGTCCCCATTTTCCCCTGCCCCACCCGCCCCCACCTCCCACCCTCATTTTTCCTTTTTCTTTGTGGAAAAAAATGCCGGTGACAGCATGAGACAGATAAGTTACACAGTTTTTAGATCAATTCTGCTGGGCTTGTTGGGGTAACATCAAGGTACATAAACACGGTCAAGAGTTTGCTATAAAACCATAGGCTCTCACTCACATGTGGAGTCTAATGAACAAAATTCACTGAGGAACAAAATAGAAACCGAGGCCTGGATACGTGGGACCGACGGACAGACGTCGAGGGGAGGGGGACTGGATGAACGAAGGGGAAGGGACCGGCCGAAGAGCAGACGTGCACACGCAGGCACCAGTGCGGGGGCCGCCGGAGGGAGGGGGTCCGGGGCTGGGTGGGGGAGGGCAGAGGCGGCGGCAGCGGGGACGTCTGTCACAGTGCAAACAACAACAAATAAAGTTAAAAAAGGAAACACATAACACGTGTCGGCAAGGGTGTGGAGCAATGCGACTCTTCATTAAAAAAAAAAAAAGAAGAAGAAAAAGAAAATCTGAAATAACAGCTGTTCTAATAATTGCAGGGTGGGAATGAGGCTTCCTCGGCGCCGACAGCGCGACTCGCACGTCCCCAGGGCCCCATCTGGATTGGGACGTAACTGTCCAATCTGTGAGCGAGGCTCAGGTGTCCTTATGTTTTGGTAACACCAGAATGCCTGAAGACTGGGGCGCGGGACACATAAGGGCAACAATCCAGCCTTTGACATTTGTAGTTAATTCTGTCAAAGACCCAAGATTTCTATAAACGTACCAACCCTGTGGGGGAAAAAAATCTTTTTCTGTTACGGTCTGTTATTGACGTGATGAAAATGTTTAGAACAGTAGAGAATAACCCTTCGCCAGTTTCCACCCAGCCCCCAGCCACCTGCATGTCCCACCACTATGCTGTACGCTTGAAACCGACAGAACATTGAGTGTCAAATGTGATCGAAATATAAAAGTAAAAGAATATTAAAACGTGCCCTGGTCAGATAGCTCAGGTGGTTCGAGTGCCGTCCCAACGCGCCAAGGTTGCATGTTTGACCCCGGTCAGGACACATACAAGAAGCAACCCATGAATGCATGAACGAGAGGAACAACAAATTGAGGTTTCTCTCCCCCGACCCTTTCGCCTTCTCACTCTTTTTCCTTTTCTTTCCCTTTCTCTCCCTTCCCTCCCCGCTCTCTATCTCGAAAATCAATCAATTAAAAAAAGGGTACAGGGCTGGGTCGCGCCCTCAGGCTGCGATTTGCTGGGGGAATCAGAGGAAGAATCAGCTAGCGACACTGCTACTCAGCGTTGTGGTCTCTCCTCTCCAGCCTTGTTTAATTTATTCTGTAGCAAAGCGATTGCATGAAGAAAGAAGAGGTACAGAAGTGTCGAAGGACAACAGCCAAGGTCTGGAAGCGGCCCAAGTACCCAGGTAACCAAGTAGGTAAGTAGATAAAAAAAAAGCTGTGGTACATTTCTGCAACGGAATACCACCCATCCTTAAAAAAGAAGGAAACCTTACCTTGTGCAACAGCAAGGACGGGCCTGGAGAGCATTGTGCTAGTGAAAGAAGCCAGTCAGAGAAAGACGAGGACCGTATGTGGAATCTAATGAACAAAAGGAACTAACATGCAACAGAGAAACAGACGCAGAGAGAGCAGGTTGGGAGCTGCGGGGGAGAGGCCGGGGAGTGGAGGGGTTGAGCGAAAAAGAAAAAAAAGAAACAAGTCAGAGGCGGACAACGGTGCGGTGGTTGCTGGAGACAGAGGGGTGGGGGCGGAGGGAGAGGGTACGGGGCTCAAACGGTGCTGGAGGGAGACTTGACTCGGGGTCGCGAACACCCGTCGCAGTGATTACAGATGACATATTGTAGAATTGGGCCCCCGAAACCTGGATCATTTTGTTAACCAGTGTCTCCCCCATGAATTCAATAAAAAGGAGAGAAAAAGTGTTAAAGGGAAGCCTAATGTTAATGTTCATACGTGGGTCTGTAGACCTACGAAAGCCAAGGAAACCCCTTGAAAAACTCAGAGCTCACAAGTCATCATTAAATCGGGTTGCTAACAAATTTGACGTTTAAAATACCACCCTCGATGAGAAGATGAAAATTCCACCCCAATTCTGATGACCAGTCAGAAAACAAAAAGACATCAGATTAAAAGCAGAAACAACACAGATAAAACCCGTAGACAGACGATTTAGGCAAGTGAAGTGTTTGCTTTGAAAGCTTTAAAAATACCTCAGACAGATAAAAACCTGGGTGGGAAAGAGCGTGTGTATTTTCAAAATATCAATTCTCCTTAAAGCAATCAGTGTGATATCATCCAAGAAGTTCTGCTGACAATTTTATTGAAAGTCGAAGCTCATTTGAGTTCTTGTAAAAAGCCAAAAATAGATCATCCAATTCTGGATAAAAAGGCTTATTGACTCTGTTGGAACCTAAGCAAGACCATAACTCCCATGAGAGAAAGTCACTGTTTCCAAGCGTCTGAGACATGAGGTGCCACACTTAAAAATATTTGTGAATTCCTGCTTCACGTGCAAACTCCCAGATTTGCAGAGGGAACACAAGGTCTTAATCCACAGTAGAAACAGGAAAATTCCTCAACTCAGCCCCCTTCCCCTCTCCCCCAAACTTCAGAGCTCCCCTAGAAAGAGAACTGGTATAGGCCAAGCTGGGTGGCTGAGTTGGTTGGAGTGTTGCCCAGCCCACTGAGAGTTGTGGGTTTGGCCCCAGCTGGTGTGGCTCCTTGGATTGAGCACCAGACTGCAAAGCAAAGGGTCACTGGTTCAATTCCCAGTCAGGACACATATCTGGGTTGTGGGCCAGGTCCCCAGTAGGGGGGCGTGTGAGAGGCAACCACATATTGATGTTTCTCTTCCTCTCTTTCTCCTTCCCCTCTCTCTAAATGTAGATAAAAATCTTAAAAAAAAAAAAAAAGGTTGTGGGTTCGATCCCTGATAGGGTTTTGTGCTGGAGGCAACCGACTGATATTTCTCTCTAGAGATCAGTGAAGATAACCTCAGGTGAGGATTAACAAAAAAGGGGAACTGGTACAAATAAATCAGAAACACAGAACAATGACTATGTCATAGAAGGAATTCTCCTAGTCAGTGAAAATGATCAATAGTTCAGTTCAATTTATTAAAAGGAGCAAAGAAGTTGAAAAGCTTTAAAAAAAACAACAACTGGATGTGACTTCCATTTGTACTAGAAACTGAGGTGGTCATGAGTGATAACGATGACCAACGAGATTGACAAGTGCCAAGTCATAAAAGCTGACCAGAGAGGATAAAATTCTGCGGAGAGTATTTGCCTTGATAAAGCCGGCAGGTGCCAAGTCCGACACGTCAAGCCGGCTGCGTCCATAGCGTTGGATCCCCTACTGCTTTGTTGCGCGCTGAGAGAAAGGCGCACCTGTACTGTGGGTGGAGGTGTCACTAGGCTGTCTCTTTGGAAGGCAACGTGGCCAGATCTGTGCCCGTGAAATGCAAATATTATTAGACGCAGGCTCGTTTGCAACAGCAAGGTTGAAGGCCAATTTTTGATCAATAGCAGGTGTGTTCATTCATTCGCGCCTTAAAATGCCCTGTATCCTTAAAGATGCCCAACAGCCAGCACAGAACGGTCCACGGCTGTAAGATATTAAACAGCCCACCCCAGTCCACTCATTATTTTGGGGGGATGAGCAGGAAATGGATTGAGAGCGGGAGGGTGAACTGAAGGACACATTTTACTTTATACCTTTGCATAGTGTTTGCTCTTCCTAAAATACTAAAAAGGTGTGTCCCATGAAAACAGCATTTTAGCGGATGCTAGTAGAAATAAATGCACTTTACTAGAATGCGTTATCTAGTACCATTACCCAGCTAGGAAGAGTGGGGTGTGGGGAGGGAGGGAGAAAGAGGAAAGGAGAGGGAGTCACTGAGGGTGGACAGACGAAGTTTACACACGAGACTATTCAGAACAGAACCCTCGCAAGAAAATAAGCTTTTCTGCCTATTCCCGTAGAGTATCTAGGAAAAATATTAACCCAACTGGCAGTTAAAAGGGGAAAAAACCCAAACCCCTACATTTCTAAGAACAAGGTAAAAAGGTTGCATCCTAACCACAGAAATTTAAAATTTCCTAGGTTAAAATTAAAATGAAGATTTCCTCTAGCATAAAAGAAACTGTGTACATGGAGGCTGAAAGCAAAACACACACATGAAAAACTCTCTCGACTATTCGGTTGCGTGAT